TATAGCTTTATAAATGTTAAAATTATTCTCGTTCATAACAGACATCTTGTAATGGAGGAAAATTAAAATATGGTTCTTAATCTACTGTGACACTTACCAAAATTAAAAGCGCTTTTTTATTTAAAACATCCACAGCTTTAATAAATTGTGTAAGGCTTCCATGGCCATTGTTCAGCATATCATTGTCTCTCGGGCTGTTCGGCCGATGTGAGCGAGAAGAGGTTCTCGAAGAATTCTTCGAGCAATCAAGGAGTCAACACCTCCTGATGATGCCGTCGTGATGGCGAAACGTCGAGAACCTCTTCTCGCTCACATCGGCCGAACAGCCCGAAAGACAATGATATGCTGAGCCACAGCTTTGTTAAGATGTCGCTAAAGGTATTATACTTTTACTTACTAATATCAAGTACTTAGGTATGGTTGTCGTTTGAGAACTCTTAAATTTGATTCAAATAAATAATAATAACTAGCTTACACGGTTGTTCGGTCATGTCTTCTAATATTATAAGTTTGTTTGAACGCGCTAATCTCAGGAACTATTCAAATTGAAGAAATCTTAAACGGTTGCGACCAATAGGAGCGAAGAAACGGAGCGAAATGTGGAGAAACGGGGAGCGATAGTTTTTTATGGCTTCCGTTGCGCGCGCTGCAAGAACGATTTCAGAAACCAAAAAACTTTGAAACAAAATAATTCTTCTTTAAGTGATTAAAAAAATATGCGCGACAGCATATATCTATCTTTTAAGCTGTACTTGCAAGCGCCACGGGACGCGGACGATGTCGTGGGTAACAGCTAGTACCATATATGGCAAAAGAACGTTCGCCAGATCTGCTAAAATAAACTATTTCTAGTTTAACAAAATATGTAACTTCTTATAAGTGTGTAAAAAAGTGTAAACTAGTTTTCCCTGTGGGGCATGGGGCGAACACAGTGATCAGTTCCTTCACAGGCAAGAAGTTGATCTGCGCCTTGCCTGATCGAAGTAACCTATTGTTCCCGAGGATTCGAACCCAGGACCTCTCTCGCTTAACGCAACACGTTTAACCATTTAGCTACAGAGGCTACGTCTTCTACGTGTCGACAAGATGTGTCCTATTTTGCATTTGGATATTCGTAAATCGTTCATTTGTTTATTTGTAAATCTTTTGTAAAAATATCGAATTCGTTAATTCAATTCTTTTTCCTGTACTGTTATTTGAATTTTAAAAATTGATGAAAACAATACTGTTATTCCAAACTGCGCCGTAGCAGGCTTTCTCTTAAAACACCTCGAGAGAATTAAATATCATACAATTTTATATGTTCATTAAGGTTTTTAGTTAGTTATAATGTTAATGTTGACATCTGTCATAATATAGAAGTGACAGGTTTCAAAAAAGATGTCGTCTTGCCCGAAGCGACTCTTTCGGTTAGATTAAAACAAACCCACGCTGTTTATAAACAAAGGTTAAATATGTAGAATTAAATTAATTATAAATTAAGATGAAACGGTTGTAATATTTTGACGTTGGTCTAATTCAGTGCTAATGATCCACGAGTCAGGCGTTCGATCTACGCCGGCTTTTAAACAGTTACAGGCGTTGTATAAAAATCATGACATCTTCTACCATCTATTGGTTTTATACTAAATTCGAACGCTGCGCCAGCGACTTCGTCCAGGTTTTGGCCATTGATATCTGTTTTTGCAAACCTCCTAAGCTTATAAGTCCTGTTACCAATGTCGTCATCCACGTCCCGTCGTTCTTGCTATCTTGAACAAATAGACAGTATCTTGTACTAATTTCACAGCGACGGAAATACATAAAGATTTTAAATTTTCCCAACTTTTTTCACATTTCCCGTTGTGTCTTAGCTTGTATTAGCCACAGCGCGAGTTTTATAGCCTATAAGCCTTCCTCGATAATTTGTCTAACACAAAACGAAAAATTTTCAATTCGAACCCGTAGTTCCAGAAATTAGCGCGTTCAAAGAAATAAACTCTTCAGCTTTATATATTAGTATAGATATAGTCTAACAATAGATTTCTGTCCGTTTTTTTATTCCTTTAGTACCGTCGTCCCGTTTCATACTTTGTCGTTTAAATACATAAGTATTGTTTTAAATTTCAACAGCGTATTATTCTATAATTTGTGATAAAAATCTTGTTTACTTTTCATACAAGGTGAAACTCGTCGTGAATAAAAATGATTCTTGCATTGCGGTTTATAGGTTTGCATTGAATTGTAGCTATATCTATAAGTAACTTATGCTTTTAGGTAAAATTTAAAACATTTGATATAGCCCACTAAGTAATACGGGTGTTGAAGATAATTTACTGAGTTAGTATTTTTTCTAGAATAATTAAATACTGTCTGTAGTTCACGCGAGTAGTACACATATATTTGTTAACTTAATTATTTCAACTATGGCCCGACGTTGGATGCTTTCCAGTAGCCGTGGTCAGTTCATCAACTACGACGGAACAGATGGCGCTAGCGTAGAAGTTTTTAATTTGACGTTAAATTTGAAACCGTTAATGTGTTTTATTTATTTACTTGCCTATATTTTGTTACAGACTGTTGTTTGTCTGTCTCATTTCCTACAAAAATTACACTGTGAAGGTCCCTCGAATTTCTGTCACAATATTGCGTTTAGTATCTATGGTGGAATCCCTGACCATAAACAACTAAATTAATTAATAAATTTACGATCCCCATAAATGTAGATAAGTTGACAGTTGATGTCAAATAACACAGTACCGAATGACGAGACGTTTTATCTTATCTGGACTTGTTAACGGAAGCTTCTTTTATAACTTTTTATCATACATTGCTTTACATATAGTCTGTAGTTAACTAACTTCTATAGGTACTAATATTGTAAAGCTTGTGTATGTCTATTTGTCTGTTTGAATGGGCTAATCTCAGAAACTGATGGTTCGAATAAAAAATATTTTTCTGTTGGTTTTATCCAGGAGAAAAAACTATATATATAACGATATAGACACCAAAATCTACGCCGTCCTTTATTTAAAGGAAAATTGAATATGCCACACATAGTTTGCTATGTACAAGGCTGTGTATATACGTGTGTTTTATTCAATACTAGCCGTGCCAGCGACTTCGTCCGCGAATAGTTGTTCTGGGCGTCAAAACTTGATTTTGCAAACCTCCCCCTTATCTTTTTAAACTATAGCTGTCGCGTAGCATGGCGTCGTCCTTGCCAACCTTAACACATATACTATCGCAGACATTTTTTAGACAGCAGACATTCAAAGACGAATCATTTTTCCCACCTTTCCCAGTGTTTTTTCGCTCCATTGGGCGCAGTATAATGTTTTTAGCCTGAAGCCTTTCTCGATGCATACTCTAACCAACACATAATATTTCAATTCTAACCAGTAGTTTCTGATATTAGCGCTTTCGAACAAACAAACAAACTCTTCAGCTTTCAGTTTGTATAGATTTCAACCTACAACGAAATAACGTTCAGGTCGCGAACCACCGTCCACAGACTATATTTTTTATCTATACATCTGCATTTCGGCTTCAGTCTGTGGTTTTCCGAATCATAAAATCCAAAACAGGTCAGCAGCATATGTCCTGCTATCGACAAAAAAAAAATCGAGGACACTATTCAGTTAAAAACTAGATACAGCATCAAATGTAACTGAATTAGGAAGTTCCAAGTTCGACAACATTGAGAGGTCCCCTTGTTTAAGTTTCTAGTTTGTATTCGTGTCTCGTTTGGCTGCTGACTGTACAAGATAAATACTTGAACTATAGATTAATTTTGATTTCATTGATATTGTTGCGTTATTCATTAGTCATTTCTTTAGCCGGCAATATTCTTATATCTTTAAAAAAGTGTAATTCGGTTTCCGCCTCGCGGGTTTGGGGCAAACACATTTTGTGTCCGGTTCACTGATCTGCTCTTTAACAGGCTAGTAATTGATCAGACTTCCGTGCCCTGCGCGAAACATTTTTTTGTTTCCCTGGGATCCGAACCCAGGACCTCTCGCGCTTAACGCAATGGTAGGTTTAACCATTTGGCTACAGAGGCGGTCTTATATCTTTACTAATATTATAAAGGCAAAGAATTTAGTTTGTTTGAACGCGCTAATTTCAGGAATACTGTCTTGAATTGAACAATGATTTTTGTGCTGGTTAGAGTTAGTTAGACCAAAGAAACCAAGGTAAATGTGGGAAAATAGGGGGACATTAATGATATCTAAAAAATGTGTATAAAAAACTGATTTATCTATACAATCATATACATATACAATCTATATATCGATTTTTAAATTATATGGTGCCTTCATGTGCAATAACATGTAAACAATATTAATGTTTTCAAACGATATACAATCTAAAAAATTTCTGCGACATATGTCTGTCTTATGAGATAAGTTTGCAGGAATGACGAAACGCGATCGACGTCGCGGGTCGCTATAATTTATAAATATATTATAATCTACGTAAGTCGTGTTTTATAAGAGAGATTTTCAATTCACTATTTATTATAAAACTATAAAAACAATGGAGTCATTTATGAGTAATTCTAAGTGTTTGTGTATAGGGAAGCGTGGGGCTATTTATAGATATGGGGCCGCTAGAGCCAGAGTAGCCTAACTGCAATTTTATGATTCGACTTATTTTTATAGTCTAAAAATGTTATTCTACAAGAGCACAGTGACCGAAAATTGTAAACCTAATTCTTACGCAAAGTAGCAATTTTCACTTTGACGTCAGAGACATCCTCCATCTTTAGTCTCCCCGTGACCACGGCTGCTGCAAAGCATCCGAAACGTCGGGCCATAGTTGAAAATAATTCTCAAACAAGTTTAACTAATAATATCGCGCTTTAAACAGTTAAAGTGTTTTATTTAAATGTGTACTCGCGTAAACTACAAACAGTTAATCATGTATTTCCATCATTTCAGATCCGCCATTTTGTCGTTCGTCTGTCAACGCGTCCCGCCATGATTCCACAGATGCGCATCTCAATTTTGCTATTGGGAATGATACTTATATTATATTCGTGTTATGCAGCTAGCGTAAGTATTAAAAAAAAACACACAAAAATAGTTATATTTAGCTATACATATGCTGAACTCTTGTTAAAATACCATTAGGTTTGAATTTTCTTGCAAACGGTGTTCTACTACCATATAAATTACTAGCTGCGTTAGGGATTCTTCCGCGTAGAATAGTAATTTTGGGCTTCAAAATTTGTCCTTGCAAAACGTCTCTATAACTTTAAACTTTCCCCCGACATCGGCCGCCTCCCGTCTTTCTTGTACATTAATCTTAAAAGATATACATATTATAGTGTCGTGCACATGTTTTTAGACAGTTCAAAGAATCATTTCCTACAAAGTTCTTACGTGTCTTTAACCATATAACCGTATTCGCAGCGCACGTAATGCATATGCTCAAAGATTATTAATTTTTCCTATTTTTTCCACTTTTCTCGCACGTTTTTTGCTCCATTTAGTAGCATTGCGATGTTTGATAACCTATATAGCCTTCCACGATAGATGCTCTAACCGATACAGAAAAAAAAACAATTCAAATCAATAGTTCCTGAGATTACCGCGTTCAAACATACAACTTTTTCAGCTAAATATATTAGTTTAGATAAAAGTGAAACGAGGCCTTCCTATGTAAATAGACGGTTCTGTATCGTTTCATTTTTTTTTTTTTATATATGCCGATGCTGTTTATAATATTTTTCCGGGATTCGAACACGAGACTCAAACCAACGGTCATTTTATTGTTAACTTATGGCGTTTTGAAAACTTAATTATTTTTTACATGTTATTGCACATGAAGGCACTATATAATTTGAAAATCGAACCGACCGACTTCAAATTGAGCTACCGAGTCTGTGTGTGGACTCGGTAGCTCAATTGGTAGAGCAACAGCACGGAACGCTGACGATGCCGGTTCAAGTCCTGCCCGAGTCGAAATTTTTTTCAATTCGTTTTCGATTTGTAAATTATGGCGTTTTGTTTAAATATTACAGATTCCCAACAATTACGATCCTCGGTTTACCGACGATACGATTATAGCGCCAAAGAAGAGGCCATTTTGCAATGCATTTACAGGTAAGTAGCTGTAATGTTCTGTAGCTAAAATACGTTGCTTCGCTGCCAAAAATTGTATAGCATAAGGAAAAAATATATTTATAATAAGCATAAGGAACCCTAAAAGGGTGCGGCCAATACAGACTAAACTACAGACAATATTGTCTGTAGTTTACGCGAGTAATACACGTTTAAATAACATTTTTTAACGGTTGAAAACGTGAAATGTATTTGTTACTTACCATTAATTTTAACCAATTCTTTACAGTAGCTATGACCACGCACGCACGTAAATAAGTTAACTAATACGTACGCGTATTAAACAGTTAAACAGTGTTTTATTTAAATAATATAGACTATATTTTATATATTTATATAATATTTTAAACACGATAGCAACTATAAAGAAGATATAATAAATAATGCATACAGTTTTCCTTCGCCTCTAAGTCTTGTTGGAATGTCTTGTACATATCTGTTTTAATTATTTAACTTTGTTAGTTGGGCCATTATTTTCTATTACGTTAATGATTTTTATTAAATTTATTCTTCTCAGGTTGTGGCCGCAAGAGGTCTCAATTACCACCAGGCATGCCAGTTCAGGAGATGATGAGACAAAGACAGGTATGTCTTATGATCCATATTTTTAACTGGTAACGTATGGCAGGATAAACCGCTTCGTTACATAACGCGTTATTCCGTCAGTCTGTCAAGTTTACTCCCCTTGTCTATTCTACTATTCTTTTATTTGTTATTAGTGTTGGGTGTATGTCTTTATACATTTTATTTGAGAATTTAAGTTGCATTTTGTACTGTTAATCTATATTAAAATAACTACAACTAACCTATGTCTGTGGTTAAATTTTGAACATCTTTGCAAGCTCCTTAAACGTGGTTGAAAAAAAACTATATTAATATTATAAATGCGAAAGTAACTCTGTCCGTCTGTCCGGCTTTAACTCCAAAACTATTGAACTGTTTTACATAAAATTTGAGAAAGGCATAGGCTACTTTTAATGCCAAAAAAGTGTTGATAGGGGTTAAAAAGCGTATGCAAGTTTGTATGGAAATTAGAGGTTTTTTAAGCTAAAACAATAACAATTTCCTTCTTTGGCTTTTTGGACATATAATTGGGGTTGGGCGTGGGAGTGGAAGTGAGAATGAGAGTGGATGTTAGAGTGGGAGTGATCTGAGGTGAGAGTGTTGCGGCAAAGTAGCAATAGCCGTAAATGCGCCCCTACATAAATTAATAAACAGCCTAAATAATTAATAATTCTACCCCAAGTCACTATTTCACGCAGACGAAGTCGCGGGCATAGCTAGTACGAATATATATCGTATTTTAATCGTCAAATACTTCATTTTAAGTTTAAAGTAAACTACATTATATATTTGATGTATTAGGTATAATTTAAACTAAGTAGTATTTAAAAAGAGTTTCAAGATGTAAGATAAAGTCATTATTTGTATTTACTTATAAAATGTCTGCGCTTTGTACAGTTTGAAGAGGATATGGGCTACGACACGGACAACGCAATAGAAGAGCTTTCCCGCCAAATTCTTTCGGAGGCTAAACTTTGGGAGGCAATTCAAGAGGCGAGCGCGCAAATTGCCAGGCGAAAGCAGAAGGAAGCTCTCATGTAAATTGTCAAAAGTATTAACCAAGTGGCACAGACTATATTTATATTCATTATCTGTTTCAACTTATTGATATATTATATAAAATAACACACATTTTTATTGACAAACCATCTCAAACTTTTAAGTAATATAATAAACATTTATATTCTTTAATATAATAGAGCATTCGCTAAAGCCTGTGCCACTGAACAAGATTAAATATCCCAAAATGGCTGACTGAGGTAAGTGTCCGTGGCGTTTTCGTAGTATTGTGTCAAAATTCGCGCCAAAAGATGGCGTTCAACGGAAAAAACTACGCTGTAAAACTATTCTTGTACTTTTTAAACTAGGAGGTGACATTGTATATACATATTTACATTTATAATATCAAATTAAAGTGCAAGGGTGTCCCATGGCGTAATATGTATATTAAAAATATTATTTCAGAATTGTTTATCTATTTTTACTAACTTTGACTCAAACGATGTAAGCTAATTCTGTTTTTTATGGAATGTGTCGCTGATCGCTCCGTAATTTCCCGCCATAATTCATGTAGTACAGACTAGACACAGCCCATGAAACTAAATATTTTAACTTATATAGTCTGTATAGATTTTTTTATATGTAAAACAATAAATGTATGTATTTTTTTTTATTTTTTAGATGGGGCCCCTTGTATCTTTAAATGTGGTTATTTATATTTGATATAATTAAGCAATTTTCGGGAAATTAGGTTGTTTTTATCAATAAAACTCATTTATATTGTTTACTCTCGTAGGTTTTAGATGTAAGATTTAATGATTACTATTAAAAAATGTTCAACTTGAAGAGAAATACAGAGACTTCATTAGAAATTATGTTTTTTTTTTTCACTTAAACACCATTATAGTTTGACACTTTTAATGAAACACTTTAACAGTTTAAAACGCGTTATATATTGGTTGAACTTATTTGAATAATATGTTAACCCAACGTTTCGGATGCTTTGCAGCAGCCGTTGCCACGGAGAGAGACACGATTTAAACCGTTTAAGTGCTTTATTTAAATGTGTACTACTCGTAACTACAGACAGTATTTAGTTTGAAACTTGTTAGAACCGGCTATGTGCTAGTGGCCTATACGTACATTTGCTATAGTCAAAGGGAACAATAAAACATAGATGTTTTGCATTAATTTAATTATTTCATACACAAAATATACAAATACTTACGTACACGTGAAAACGGGGAGAACGTTTCAGTGTAAACTTCAGAATTGTTTATAAAACGAATTTTAATATAAAATTGATATATAACATTTATTTTGAAATATGTCAATTTCGTGAACTGTCAAAATTTCAAACACCATAAAACGTAGACTATATTTTTTATTTGTTATATATTAGTAAAAATTATATAAGCCTCCCCCACCCCTTCCAATAAAACATAAGTAACAGCTGCAACTATATTATAAAATACACACAAATTACATCAACCCAGCCTTTTAGATGTAATATTGAAGTATTTTTTGTTCATTTATTGCTTTTTTTATTCTCTGTCGTCAACATCGTCGAAGATTCCATAGTGCTCATTTGAAAGCCAATTGTATCTGTCATCCGGGATGTTCTCCCGGAAAACCGGCAGTTCTTGGCGCCTCCCGTCGTTGAAATAGTAGCGCATCTGTGTACAAAGGTAAAATAGAGCATATATAATAACTTCAATACTAGACTGCTAACTAATGAAATCAATAAATATTAAACAGTTTAAAACGCGTAATATATGAAGTAAGTAATTTAATTCGGGCATCGTTAAAAATCAACTTAACCACTATTTAGTTTTAAACCATTAAAATCTTTAGACGGGTCGTTTTATTTAATTACTAACAGAATACTATCGTTTTTGGAAAATATATAAAGTACTTTTATGTTATCGGGCCGCTTCTTCCGCAGGTAATTAAAGCAGCAGGACCGGAAGTGGCGTGTTCCGCAAGCAGCAGCGCATTCGCTGCCGCAGGAATCACACGAAATCCCCTGAGACCACACCGCGCTGCCTGCGAAATAATAAACTCATCATAGTCTTGTAATTAATATAAGTCTGTAGATACATTTAATGAAATCAACAAAACGTAAGTGACAGATGACAGGTGATAGATGACAGCTGACAGCTGACAGTTAGGGTGGCTGTAAGTGCATAATCTATACTAAAATGATAGTGTGAAATCCTGTTTCCCCTCGTGGGGCATAGGGGAAACACATTTCTGTGTCCGTTTCACTGTTCGGTATTATTTACAGGCAAGTAGTTGATCAAACTTCTGTGCCCTGCCCAACCGAAACAATTTACTGTTTCCCCGGGATTCGAACCTAGGACCTCGAGCGCTTAACGTAATGCTTTTAACCATTTAGCTACAAAGGCGGTCATATAAAGCTGAATAGATTTTTTTTGAACGCGCGAAATCTCAGGAACTACTGGTTCGAACTAAATTTTTTTTGTGTTGGTTAGAGCATATATCGAGAAAGGCTTTAAGCACGATGTCATCAATAGGAGCAAAGAAATAGCGGGAAGCCCGCAAAAAGGGGGAAAATTATTTATTTATTTTTTATTTATTATTGCTTTATTATTTATGAAACATACCACATAAATAAAGAAAAAATCTTATGTGCTAACTTATAAATAAAAAGGCGGCCTTATCGCTAAGCAGCGATCTCTTCCAGGCAACCTGAAGTACAGGAAAAAATATATATATATTTCGTGGGTAGGTGTAAGGAATAACAAAGAATATCAAGGTACACAGTGAAGGTACACACAACGAGTAGGAGAGACTAACTTCTACTACTACTAACTAACTAACTTAAATATTGGAAACGTAAAACTTATACAGCAGACTCTTAAAAGAACGGAGTGATTGAGCTTTTCTGATATTAGTGGGAAGAGAGTTCCAAAGACATAAGAGGATAGCTTTAACTGTGACGGAATTATTGAAGAAAGAGCTTTTATGTTTAAGCACAAATAGAAGGAGATTATCAATCGAACGAAGGTTTCACTGGAGGGGACTTAAAAGGAGGAATATCTCTTTTAAATAAGAGGGAGTTTTGGGATAAAAAATGACATGGTAGAGGAATTATTATGAATCTTTAAGGATTTTTATAGTGTGCGCGAATACAGTTCAAGCTACCCAAGATATACGTATGAAAGAATGATTCCTCTAAGATCTACAACAATGGCCACGGTAGAATATGTCTATCTTTTAAGATTAACTAGCAAGAACAACGGGACGCGTACGATGGCTCTAATTTATAAAAATGATGAGGTTTGCAAATTTTGATCTTCAAAAAATTATTCAACGCGGTCGAAGTGGCTAGCGCAGTGATATGTATTTGTTAAATCATGTAACCGGTTTTGGTAATTTCAAATCTAATTATTAAAATAATAATACATTAACATTATATTGAAGCAATGAGCGAATAAGAAGCGTGACTATCTTGTTAACAATAAGAAACACACGAACTGCCTAAGTACCAACCTAACAAAAACCAAAACGTCAACGAATCGACATTGCCAACATGAACAAAAAATTTATATTTTTTATTAGGGATGTTCGATAACATGATATCGATTGCTAGTGGGTATTCTAATGTCTGTAGCTTACGCGAGTAGTACACGTTTAAAATTAAACACTTTAACGGTTTTAAACGCGATATATATTAGTTAAACTTATTTGAAATTATTTTAACAACGGCCCGACGTTTCGGATGCTTTGCTTTGCCGCGGTCACGGGGAGTCGGGCCGTAGTTAATATATTTTTAAATAAGTTTCATATAAGACGCGTTTTAAGCCGTTCTTGTGTTTAATTAAAAAAAAAAACAAACCTTGGTTATAATCATTGGATGGTTCTGCGTCCTTTTTGCTCCGTCTACAATCTGTTTGTGACATCAATGCTGAAGCAAAACAAAATAAAACCTCTTAATCAGCGCTACAAAAGCATAAAGCAAAATAATAAATGTCTGTACGCGAGTAGTACACATTTAAATAAAACACTTTAACGGTTTAAAACGCGATATATTAGTTAAACTTATTTGGAAATTATTTTTAACATCTTCCCGTGACCACGGCTGCTGCAAAGCATCCGAAACGTCGAGCCGAAGTTAAAAATCATTACCAAATAAGTTTAACTAATATATCGCGTTTTAAACCGTTAAAGTGTTTTATTTAAACGGTATATATTCGTTAAAATAATTTTCGAATAAGTTTAACATTAATATATACCGCGATTTATAACGTTAAAGTGTTTTATTTAAAGTTACTTCGTCTCGTTATTTGATTTCCATAAGTACTAATCGTATTTCACAAATAAAACCTAGATTTAAATGAAGTATGGCGAAATGATTTGGTTATTTGTATAGGTAACCAAATAAGAATTATTACGCAATAAAGTAAGTATTAAGCGAGGAGTTAACTAATATGATTCACGTTTCTAACCGGCAAAAGTGTTTTATTTAAAATGAAAATTGTACTTCAAATAGTTTTAGATGCGATGCAGAGCTTGATCTTCATTTTTTATTGAATGATCCTAGTGTACTTAAGTTTCGTCTGTCGCTTATGCGAGTTGGTATATTTTACTAAATCCATTTTTAACGGTTTAAAATGCGACATTATTAATAGAAACGTCGGGTACTAGTGAAAAATAAATTAAACGTAATACATAGTAAATGAAACAGCTATAACGGTTTAATACGCGCAATTTATTGTATTTACGAAATATTTTTTACAATGAAACCCTAAGATTTTCTACAGAAGCCGATTACGCTATTATTATACATAGCTGATATGCATTTAAACCGTCAAAAATGGCTATATCAAGATAAATAAATATATTTTTTTTTACGAAAATATCTTAATTTACTTACTACCCGCGTAAATGACTGTGAGTACAGTACAATAAGTGTCATTAACTAATAGTAAATGTAATAAAACGGTTTAGTACGCACAATGTATTTAATAAATGTTTGACGATGTTAACTGTGGACTGTAAATATGGTCGAGATTTACGATGTGTCGATTACGACTATGTCGAGATATTTCTATAAGAATGTTAAAGACATGCGGACAAACTTTGCGTTCTCTACAATAATTATTAAAAAAAAACCAACGCATTATACTCACCAATGAAAAACAGAGACAAAATGGCGGTTAGTTTCAACATTTTATAGCACCTGCTACTTTTGACGGAAGCTGGTCTTAGAATGCGGGATGATCAAAATAAACCCTTTTTATATCCACGGAGGCTGTGCTAGAGGACGCGGGATAAATATTTATTCTCTTTTCAACTTTTCCGCCATTAATATGCATTATTTACACTGTTATTGATACCGCAGTTACTTAAAACGATATAACCGTCACCCTAGTACGAGGCTAAGATTCTTGGTCCGCAAGCAGGAGTGAATACTAGTTATTCTGAAAGCCGTGTTTGTCTAGTGGAAAGTAGACTAGAACCGCTCGCGATTCACGAAAGATTTTACCTTACCTTTTCAGGCAAGCAATCTAACTTTTTAATTAAAAACTTCTTTAGCGTCATTGTGCGAATTGTAGTTAGAGCAGCATGGAACGCTGTTGATGGAGGTTCGAGTCTCACCCGTGTCGTAAAATTTAGGATTCGGCAGATCAATTGGTTAAAGCTACATGTATGCTATGGATGTCAGTTGAAGTACCTACAGCCCGCGTCTTAATTTTTTCTAACAATCTAAAATTGATTCTTTACCTTTGGAAAATTTGGGAAAATCATCTTGAAGGCTTCCGTTACGTGCGCTACGAAAACAGATCAAAAAATGTACGAATAATTTCCCTTTCAATGATCTAAAAATGTCTGTGACTCATGCGAAATCCGTTTTTGTATTTATTAAATTTTAGTCGAAATAAATTAGTAAACATAGATGAATCAACGTAATGAAATGAAATCTTGACAAACAAAAGCCTCGTTTGCCGGGTCAGCTAGTCTGTAATAAAACATAGCTTCACAAAATATGATCATAGATAATATAGACATATTTTTTGTAGATGTTTCTCTGGATGACACCAAATCAAACCTGTTATGTTCGCAGACCGTTCGAGTAACGTTCGAGTACCGAGTACCGATTGTGAGTTTACTTCTCGTGCTCGGGGTCTTTTTTTTTTGCGGTTAGTATGACAAGCTATGTAAAGTTTTATTGGACATCAAAAACAACGTTAAAGTGAGAATCAATTTCGTACGTATAAGGGTTTTTAAAGTTTTTTTAGATATCTACTTTTAAATAAAACACTTTAACGGTTTAAAACGCGATATATTAGTTAAACTTGTCTCCCCGCGGCTGCTGCAAAGCATCCGAAACGTCGGGTCGAAGTTAAAAATAAATTTTCAAGTTTAACTAATATATCGCGTTTTAAACCGTTAAAGTGTTTTATTTAAATGTGTACTACTCGCGTAAACTATAGACAGTATTTATATCTACTTCTGTTAAGTTTTAAATTGAAAACGTATTTCAAAAAATTAGCCTAGCTATACGGATGTGATATATTGATATTAATATTAATTCACTAAAGTGATAATATAAAACAGCGATATTTATTTTTATGACAGACAGACTAGGACATAGGTTTTACTTTATATAAAGTATACCCCGGCCATATAACGTGTAAAAAAATGCGCTATCGGCCTACTTCGGATTAAGAACATTAATAAACTCTCTGAAACCAAAACGCGATTAAACTAGACGGCTTTTTAATCTGTGGACGATGGTGCGTGACCCTGACGGAATTTCAATATTCCATCTATCCATTTAATATCCAGAATTCTAGCCAAAGTCGAAGATGTTTAAACAAAAAATTGATAAGAAACTTAAATTGGAAATCGATTATAAATTAAACATACGACTCGAGCAGGACTGGAACCGGTTACCGTAGCGTTCCGTGCTGTTGCTCTAACCAATTGGGCAACCGTGTAATTGTTTATAATCGATTTTTAATTTGTGCCATCATGTGCAATAACATGTGAAAAATATTAGTTTTCAAATGACAATAAATTGTCGTACCTGGTGGGGATGGCGACCACAACTTGTTGATTATTAGACATTGATACCATCTAACGAGTTTTTTTTTTAAATATTTTCCTAAACTTTGTTATTATATTTGTTATGAACTCGTATTTATTTAATTCACGTTACAATTTAACATCGGTTAACAACAAAATTATTGCAAATATTTTCCTCATTGGGGCCACTAAATGCGCGAGTTGTACGATATACGTCAAGTAGTCAGTTACACTGATCAGAAAAAAATAAAGAACGATGATAAAAGAAAAAATAAATAAGAACCATCGTTAAAGAAATCATAAATTTGCTTGGGTACAGGATATTTTTTAAAAAAAAAGTAAAGTACTTTAAATTGTGACAATATAAATCGTAGGTACACACGTTTTTTCTAATTAGCAATAAGATGATATATCTCTAAAATAAAATTTAACAATAATGATTATAATACCAGTTAGTAGTTTGTTCCTTTTAGCAGTGACCTTCTTTAATACCATTTAGTAATATTTTAAGCAAATTTGAATAAGCTGGAGAGTTAGGAAAAACGAAGTGATCGAAAAACTGTTAAACGAACCCAACATAATAGGAGAAGCAAGCCGAAAGTGGTGCTCTTTAGTTTTGGGGCCAAGACTCACTTTGGGTCGCTGCGCCAACGTAGTTAGTAAGTAAATTTAAATATCGTATTTCCAGTGATTCATTCTAAATAGGGGCGTAAATTGCCATAGAAGAATAAAAATAGTTCCCGTATACGAATTTTTAAAGCCATAGGCCGACAGCGCATCTTAATTAAATGTTATAGAGCTGGGTTAATCAAACAAAACGCATTAGATATGCACAAAACTATGTTTATTATCCAACATGAGACTGCACCATCGAAAGTGACATTAGACAATATAGTTTCCTACAGGTGTCAACCCTACAAAAATATATAGTATTGTTCTTCGTTCGTATTTACGGTCACTGTCTATATACTCTACACAATTTTTTTAATACTTAAATTGAACAAACAAATGTTTATTTTTTATTAACTAGTAAGTATTTTACAATTATTTTTGTGTGTTGTTCAATAATTTTCAGTCAAATACTATCTTTATTACTACGTCGAAACGTCGCGTCGAAGTTAAAATAATTTGTAAATAAGTTTCAGTAATATATTTCGCGTTTTAAACAATTAATTGTGTATTAAACAAGTAACAGTGTTCTATTTAAAAGTTTACATTTTTAATATTGGCAACCCTAATGACCGATTCAACATTAACGCTCAAAGTGATAAAACGATTTGCAAGTTTTCGTGGCCGCAGCAGAGGTCAAGTTATTTATTTTTTAATATCTCATACTATTTTAAGCTCGCCAGTGAGACGCAAGCTGACCACAGAGTCACACGTACTTAAGTGTCTTAGATAATTATTTCCTTAAAAACTCTGTGATATTTAATATTAGTAATTATATATGAAATAATATACAATTAATTATGTGAGTGTATAACATATTATTAATAGACGTAACCGGTTATTTTCATAATCAAAATGCGTATGCGCACGAGAAGACTACCATCAAATCAGCGGAATTATAGTGTATAATATATTAGTTATCGGTGTCAGTGTCTTTGTGTAATCTATACTAATATATATAAAGCTGTAGAGTTTGTTTGAATGCGCTAATCTCAGAACCTACTGGTTCGAATTGAAAAATTATCTTTGTGTTGGTTAGACCATTTATCAAGGAAGGCTATAAAACATAGCACTGTGACTCGGATTGAAGAGATAGCGGGACATGTTTCTTCATGTTGTTGAAAGGTTTCGTGGCGTGCCCTGCGAAAATGGTTCAAGCCACCCAAAAAATATGTACAAAAGAAGCCCTTGTGTGAATGTGAATTCCTTTTTAAACAATCTAATAAAAGTCCTCGACGCTATATGTCTGTATCTTATGATAAACTCACAAGAACGACGGGAAGTGGCGCGACCGACGTCGTGGGCAACAACTTACGTTTATAAAGATAGGTGTTTGCAAAACGAATTTAGATGCCCAAAAAAATATTTTTAGCGGACGAAATCGCTGACACAGCTAGTATTAAATATCGGTGTCAGTGCCGTTGCGTATTTTTTATAATATCTTTGGTATATTAAGAATAAAACCGTTTAAGTACAAGTAAGTTGTCCTGTGTATAGGGTTCCGTACATAGAATTGTAGATAGCTAGGTACATAGAATTGTATATTGTTTAGTATTTTTCAACATTTATATTGATATGCAAAACCTCAACTGCCTTATTACAAAAGAAAACTTAAACCAGACCTGTGGAGACTTGGTTTAAATCTTGAACCATGTTCTTAGTTAGTACCATAGTTAGTCCAGTACAAACGTTAAACATCGTTTTGTAATAAGCATTTCAAGTAAGCCAGGTTTATTTTAATTAGTTTTTAGTACCTACTTGTTAACAGAAATCCAAAAAACACCTATATACTTTAAAGATATATATAAAAATACGCAGATAATAAAATATAATCAATCTCTAGACAGAGAGATATCGAAGTTATAAAGCTAGAATTGACAGAGTAAATAGCTTTGCGGTCGTCGGTTCGAGTGCCAGCCGTGTCGAATTTATTAAATTTACACTGAAGTTACGGTCCCTCCATGGCCACGGCTATTACAAAGCATCCGAAACGCCGGATTGTAGGTAAAATAAATTCTAAATAATTTAACTAATATATTTCGCGTTTCAAACCGTTATATGTGTTTAAATAAATGTAAACAACAGAGTATTAAACTAAATATTTAATATGTATATATAACGTGTCAAAATAATATTTTCAGTAGAAAAAGATAACCTTATCAGATAAAATATAATTTATTAAAACGCGATATATATATATTAGTTAGACTTATTTGAAAATTATTTTTAACTTAGGCCCGACGTTACGCATGCTTTGCAGCAGCCGTGGTCATGGGGAGGGTCTCATTTAAATGTGTACTTCTCGCGTAAACCACAGACATCACTAAATATAACTGTTATCATAGCAAGTTATGGTTGAAGACGACTAAGAGAACCTGAAGAGAAGAGCAGAGAAGAGAAGATATTAAAGGATTTGAAGAAAAATGTTTCTTAGAACTGCCTTAACCGTGTCGGTGATAGTATGTTTGTCCTGTCGCTGTCACAGTCTGTCTGATTATTACAAACGTGAGTATGACTTTCACATACTAATGGGTACTTTATCAATGGGCCGTGGGTTCGAACCCTACCTGCTCAACGTGTTATGAAATTATAATTTTTCTAAAACATGTTGGACTTCGTCTGGAAATCTCGATACAAAATGGGAGGTAATATCGATATTCTGTCCGGGTCACGAACCAGTAACCGCCGTCCACAAATGAAAAATACTTACTTAAAATTAATTAATAAAATTTCTTAGTGAAAGATGACCTTGTATGAAATATATATGTATATTATACATATTAAAATTGCCGAATTGGTTACAATTTGGTTATTTCCAATTTATGTAATTCGGTTTTTCCTTAAACTTGGCGAGCGTGAGTGCCATGACATTATGCAGGTATCAGCAATAATAGTAGTACATATTTTTTAAGTAAACGTGTTTTTTCTTTGAAAATGAGCGGGGAAAGATTCTTACTAGCGTTTCACGTGTAGCTATTTAAGAACTACACTTTTGATACAATTTATGAAGAAAATGTATTTATTAAACACTAATAAGACTTATTTTTTGCTAGCCGAGACAAAATTTGCTCAAATGATTAGACCTTCTTTTACGACTATTATCAAACATAACGATATTAGGAAACGAATTTATTTTTCAACAAATGCAAACTTATTCCTCAATCTCCATTAGTACTACATTAAGGAACGCTACAAATTATGTGTTTCTGCCTATACTAATTACAGTTTTTTTTATTATTTAATCATAACATCCCGATAAATTTAAAGGAGTGTCGTTCTTATACAGTCTCTCTATTTTGCCGCTAGGGGCGCGAGTGATCTTTGCAATTACAAATTGTCGTGTTTGTGTACGATAGTGATAGATAAAAGACCATCGTATTTTATCACATAAATTATACTTTTATAAAGAAAAAACAATTCGCCTTAGGCCTTATTTTATATATATAATGATCAGGTTTATTTATATTTATTTATAAACGGCATACACAATTAACTTACAAAATCTATTACTCGTAATAATTCTTTCTACTTATCTATATGACTTAAAAGTGTGCACAACTTTCACTAAATATTAAATAAAGATAAAAATAAACATTACGAAGTCAAAACTAAAAGAGACAAAGATAGGTTACAAATGAAAAAAAAAATTGATAGATGGTTAAATTTCTGGAACTTTTTTTATGTTGGTTGCCTTACTTTTCTGAAACAGCTTAAGATTTTTATTCAATAGGCCTGAAAATCGAATACTATCTATTTTTATCTCTTGGGATTTTTTTAGTCTTTGACATTTTTTTATAATGTGGCATAAAAAATACCCTTCCTTTTCACCCATCTATTACCGACCCCGTTAATTATAAATAATAATAAATTAATGTTTCACACAAGAAATTACCTAGAAATGCCGGGTAAGCTTATTTTATTATACAGCCTTTATAATTATTTACAGTTGGTCAAACGTGTACAGACACGATAAGCGACAACACAACAGTCGTTGGAACGTGCAAAAGGATCGCCCAATGTCCACTCGCTGTAAAGTTGGTTCAAGTGAATGAAATCAATCCATACGTGAGTTTAATTCAATATTTCATTTCCTTATTCAATAAAACATATTGATGCCTGCCAATTTTGAGCTTTTGAATAACACTTTAACGACTTAAAACGCGAAATATATAAGTTAACATATTATTCACAATTAATTTTGACTTTTTCTAATCAATATATATATAATTTTTCTGATATATATTTTGCTTCGTCTGGAAATCTGTATATTAAATGAGTGGTAGGAATGTCGCAATTTCGTCCGTGTCACGAACCACTATCACCCGGGGAAGCTTAACGCTTAAAGCCCAAAACGGTCGACAACACATTTGCTTTAGATGTAATATGGGTTCCATCTAGTATCCCTTGCTTGTCTATCTTCGTGATTTTTTAAAATTGGAACGCTTCAGAGTGAGGTAACGCCGCATGAGTCATGTTATTTCGTGCAGCCGGCTCTATCGAATTATAAGACGTTGTCACGTCAAAACGGTATATACAAACCAAACGCAGATGGGATTCAGCTGACAGCTGGAATAACGCGTAAGCTGTGAGATATTCGTAGATTGTGATTCTCTTTTTGTTATAGATGTGCTACATGATGAAGAAGAGAGAGAGAGTGGTCTGCTGTCCCTCTGAACCGAATCTCTCAAAAGCTGGTGAAATGAGGGACTTCTTCTCGAGAGCTAAGGATAATTTCATTGAATTCCAAAATATTGTAAGTATATGGTATAGATTAAAAATTGAAAAAAAAATCAATATCGATTTTTTATTTACCTAAGGTTATATGTGAAAAATATTAAAGCTGCTAAGTATAAGACTCTACACCGTAACACTTTCACGCTCAAGGGAAACATTTCTCCCTTCTACAAAATCGTTATCGATTATTCAATTATTGAATCGATATTTCTTTAATGGATGACAAAATAAAACGTATGGAATTATAGAAAATCTATACACCCTGCTATGATTTTCTAGTGATGTACTCCTACTTTACGGCCTGCTCGTGTTCTATTTTTTTGCAAACTAAACTCGTTTTTAATCCATACTTATATACTATGGTTTTCCTAGAAATGTTTTTATTCCGGTGGTGAAGCGACGACATGCTGCGTAAGACCGAAGAAGCCACTGTTCCCAGAAGACCGCGAACCGGACGGATGCAAAAAAATAACACCAATGAGCCCTAGCTTGGCAGAAGGACTTTCAGATCAACGCAAAGAAGTATTACGGAGTGTGTACACTTTGTTATATAGGACATTATATATATTAGATATATTATACATACATATCGATAGGTTGAACAAATTCGACTACCTATAAAGTGCAGGACACGGTAGCTCAATTGGTTAGACTTTACAGGAACAGCACTGTACTCTGCGGATGTCAGTTCAAGCCTTGCCCGTGTCTTCATTTGTTTTCAGTGTATAATCGATTTTTTATCTATGTAGCCGTTTTGTACCAAAATCAATCCTTATAGGAAATTAACACTTTGTGTGTACCACCATCGTTACACGAAGTAAAATATAAAGATTTTGTCGGTCTATGTATGTTGTTATTAAACTCTTTAAACGGTTTAAACATACAACTAAATTACTTCTGTTATTTTTAACTGCCACAAAACAGATGGCGCTAGCAGGTTTTTACATTCTCGTGACCTAATACAAAGCGAAATATCACATCTTACTAAGAGATAAGTTTACTAATATTTCGCTTTAAAAGATTACAAAATTGTAAGTGTAGTGTAAAATTGTAGAAATATACTGTCTGTACTTTAGGCGAGTAGTACACATTTAAATAAAAGATTTTAAGCGTAAAACGCAAAGTATATCAACGACCTGACAATTCGGATGCTTTCCAGCGGCCGTGGTCACGAGGCTCTAGAGACCTGCTATGTTTCGTCCCCCTGTGACCACGACTACTGCAAAGCATCCGAAACGTCGGACCGTAGTTAAAAATAATTTCTAAACAAGTTTAACTAATATATTTTTCGTTTTAAGCCGTTATATTTAAACATGAGAATATAATTAGAGATCTTTATTATTTCAGAATGCTGGCAATATCAAATATATGTGAACAAATGTGTGTCCCTGAAGAATGACCCAGACAAGTATACGCGGGAAGACACTTGCGGTATACCGACATCTGATTACCGGATTACGTCTGCAAAGCAGGCTGTGATAAAGGAGTTTCCACATATGGTGAGCTGATGATGATGATGATATTAATAAACAGACATGGAATATTGTATAATCTCTTTATTTGACATTCATTTACAATGTTAAAATGAAATAAATGTCATTACAATAAAATAATTCATACAAATAGATTACATTTAACTTGAAAAGTGATGCCAGAGGGTCTTGCAGCACAGTTATGCTACATCACTGATTTTCAGCAAAACCCTACTGTTTCGAATAGTTGACATAAAGTATGACAACACCGCAGATATAAATGATCCTGAGTTTGTGGTTTGATATGTGTGTCAGTGGTTTTATTAAAAAATAAAAGAAGAGAATGGGGGAGGAAAAAGTGATATTAAACTAGTCTCTTCTAGTCCCCGCAGCTGCAAAGTTCATAAATAATGAGTCAATATTTAGCGTTTTATACCGTTAAAAGTATTATATTAAAACTCTTAGAAACTTCGTTTCTGCAGGCAGTTTTGGGCGTTGCCAATCCGAATCCTCAAGCCCAAGGAGATATAATGTGGATCGGTGGAGGTTCCCTGATAAGCGACGAGTTTATTCTAACAGCTGTTCACGTGCTCCATAGTGAATAGTGAGTATATAATATAGAGGCCGTTTTAGTATTATGTAAGGAAATTTATTTATTAGTGACTCCTTCTCCCCCCATCCCCATAATCAGCAATGCTCTTAGCTTACTCCCTTTATCAGCACAAGGAAGCTTAGCTTATAATTTCCTTCCCCCATTGTTAGCAAAAGTAGCAAAGCTACAAATCTTAACACTCGTCCACCATGGTAAAGTCTAGTTATTTTTAAAGCGTAATAGTTTGGTCATTGCCCGCCTCTCTAGTCAAATGGTTAAACGTATTGCCTAGCATTGCGTTAAGCGCAAGAGGTCCTGCGTTCGAATTCCCAGGGAAACAAAAAAATGTTTCGGTCGGGCAGGGGTCAGAAGTCTGATCAACTACTTGCCTGTTAAAGAACGGACACAGAAATGTGTTCGCCCCTTGCCCCACGAGGTTAAATGTGATTAAACTATATAGTTTGTAAAGAATATTTTTTTGTTGTAAATGGTGTTATTATGAAGATATGCGTTTCTATTCTATATTAGAGAGGTGACGACGAGATTGAAATTCATAGAATGTTAAAAAACCGACCGATTTTTAAACACGTTAGTTTATAACACCGATTATAAGCAAGTGACGTCATAAACCCGCCAATCAAGGAGCGTTTTGTGTCACGTGACATATGTTTGAAAAAGTTAATTTTAAATAAAACACTTTAACGGCTTAAAACGCGATATATTACTTAAACTTAAAAAAACATTTTCAAATAAGTTTAACTAATATATCGCGTTTAACCGTTAAAGTGTTATATTTAAATGTGTACTACTTTAATTAAATCAATTATTATTTTTAACATATGTGACTTGTGTTTTAATATTTCTAAATTTAAACTTGAAACTGATAACAGTAATTGACGCATTATTTTTCGCATTGACATTATAGTCCATTGAGCTACCTTGAGCTACCGTGTCCGACATGTCATCGTTGATTTTAACACAGAATATTGTTTTTCAGTGGCCCGATTCTTTACGCGTTGCTAGGATCTTTGGAGAAGACAGACATTCGTAGCGGTATCCTTTACAATATTGTTCGGTGGATACCACACAACTTGTATAGTACTAAAACCCAGAGGCACGATATTGGACTGGTACAATTAGATAGAAAGTAAGTTTATTTTAGATCTTAAATTGTTACACGGTCGGGATTTGAACTAACGACTACAACGTCCTTTTATTGAATACGAATTATGTAGGTACACACATTTCAACCAAATTTTTTTATGATAGAGAAAGACAAGCATGGAATACAATTGATGGATTATGAATTACTCAGCCATTATAACATTTAAACAAAATGTGCTATCGACCTATGTCGACTTTGGATATTCAAATATCCACAAACTGAAACCAAAACAGCGACTAATTTTCACGGTCTTCTTCATATCGCAAACATTCAGAAAAAATATAAATTGTTTACAAATATTATGGACCCGATGGAGATCGAGTCCACGCACGCACCAGTGATTAATTTGGCTTACTAATTTAATACATTGCTACCGTTAGACTTTCGAGCCGAAATAAATGTCTGGTCTGTAAACTAAAATATAAATTGAAATGACAAAGTTTCTAGGGATTTGATGTTTTATTTTGTCTGTCATATAGGGTGCAGTTCTCAGAATTCATAAGACCCATTTGTTTGCCTGTTCAAAAGAAGCCAGAAAAGTCATCTGTGTATATTGTGGCGGGATGGGGTAAAACAGAAAAAGGATCTACATCGAATACACTTTTAAGGGTAAGTATTGTCTGCAAACAAATTAAAAAATAATTTGTGTGCAGACAATTTAACGGTTTAAAACGCAAAATATATGTAGTCAACTTTTTTTTAATATATCGGTTTTCGGAGATTTCGGAAAACACCATACCGGTAAAAGAGAGGACATCGTGAGTGAGTTGTCACTAAGACGTTTTTACGAAATACCAAATACAACGAAACAGATGCAAAATGTCGTTATATACCGTTAAAATGTTTTTCTTTTTAATACTTAAAGGTATTCATTTTAAAAATATTTTTCATCTAAATCTTAAAATCTAATTTCATCTTCAAGGATTTTCAAGCAGCAAAGCATAAAACATTAAATACGTGATGGTTAAGATTGAATTTATTCGACGGACATCGTAGCTCAATTTGGTTGTGGATGCCGGTTCGCGTCACGTGGCGTGTTTTTTTTACAATGTAATTTATGCAATCCTATGCGATAACATGCGAAAAATATTTTTTTTTTTTAAATTTTATTAGCCATATATTGCTTACAATATACAAAGCTAACCCGTTCTTAAAACCAACTTTTCCCTCTACAGGCAAACGTAAATAGACTTGGAATAAATAACTGTAAAAGCCGTTATGAATATTACGACAACAAATTCATGATTTGTGCAGCAGGCACCACGTTCACCAATGGAACAGCAGCCGACAGTTGCCAGGTATGACAGATATCATTTATTTTTGTACCTACATCTATTTTACCCATAAATAGAAAGCCATGTAGCGGTTTATTTATGCCACGGATCACTCGTAACTTAATATTTAAACTAAGCACGGTAACTTAGTATTTAAAAGGTTACAAAAAATCCTTACTTAATTAGTTAAGTAGGTTACATTTATAAGTAATAGCCGTGTCAGCGACTTCGTCCGCGAGAGTCGTTAATTTGGGCATCCAAATTCGTTTTTCCAAACACCTTCGTCTTTATAAAGCTGTTACCAATAACGTCGGTCTGGTCCCGTCGTTGGAGAACGACGGGACCAGACCGAGAGAGTCATCAAGAGATAGGTCCGTACTGTCGCGGACATTTTTTTTGATCATTTAAAGAAGAAACATTCTCTCATACACTTTTTTTTATTTGTATCTTGAACCGTTTCTGCAGTGTACGCATCGGAGACTTACAAAGATGAATAAATATTCCCGGTTTTTTTTTCGCATTTCAAACATACAAACAAACTCTTCAGCTTTATATATTAGTATAGATAATATACATATTTTATAATAGTAAATATATATAAGACGATCAAATGTTTGCTAAAATGTTTCAGGGCGATAGTGGAGGACCACTGATGTCTTCATCATCAGACGTATACTGCAGCTACATTATTGAGGGAATAGTTTCCCATGGAAGCACTTGTGGATCTGGTGAAGGCGCTGTATATACCCGGGTCTCATATTATTTGGACTGGATTATAAAAACTGTGTGGCCTGAGCTATAAGATGTTTGAAATAAGTGTGTACATAAACTTAAGACGACGTAAGATCCGTTGTTTTACTATCTGATCTTCACTATATAAGAATACTGACAGAGCAAACTATGTTTTAAAATTTTTATTATATGTACCTCTGTAATTTGATAGTCAATTTTTTCTTAAGCTGCAAAACATATGACGTTGAACCGCAATACGTTAGTGTTAAGGTTAAAATTATATTGCGCGCGAGGTGCATGTATTAATAGATTGAATAAATTCGACATAAGGTCACGGTAGCTCAATTGGTTAGAAAGAGAAAACTGAACATGGGTAACTTATACATAGTAACGAAAAAGTTAATTACATGATTGATCTGTCTGTACGTTTTGACGTTAATTATAAGTAGTATTTTGTTAATATCTGGGACAATAATGAAGGAAGTCACTCTTCCACGCAAAGTCGCCGCAAAAGTGACCTACGGTATATTAATATTATATTTCGCGAAATTTTAATAATATAGATTTAAGAGCGTTAAAAGTATTTTATGTACATGTGTGCTACTCGCGTAAACTATATAATTTAATTAACAATTATCAATCAAAAATAGACAGTAGCCAATTTACAACTATTGTATACGCACGTAAAATTTTATAAAAATCAGTGTAGCCGATTCGAATATAGTGGCTAACATTAGGACATGCTTTTTCTTAGATAAAGGGACAGTAAAAAACAGTAATTTCTGAATAATATGTACATTTAAACGTTTCAACATAAAATACATAGATCATAAAATATAATTCAATCTTAAAATAAATTGGGTATAGTCGTGAGGTACTCTTTTATAATTACACATTAAGAATGTAAAGAATCTATTGAACCTATACCTATGAATTATCTCTCTTTTTCAGTACTGTTGCTATAACCAAATAAGCTACCGTGTCCTACATGTCATTGTCGGGTTTTAACAACCTATGGATACATGTATCTTTCGCGTCTTATAGTAAGTAAATCTTCACTTAAAAAAGATATCAAACTACAAGTATAAGCGTCTGTAAAAAAATATAGGGAAAAACGTAAACCTCTGCTTGGAAAATAATATAAAGAGGAGCATGTATCAATAGGATGAAAAAAAATTACAATCAGGTACGTGTAGGATACGGTAGCTTAATTGGTTAGAGCAGCAGTGACACGGTAGCTCAATTAGTTAAAGCAGCAACACGGAACGCGGTTCATGACGCGCCCTCGTAATTATTTTCAATCCAAATAGATTTTAAATATAAATAATTTCGATTTATACAAAGTAGCCTTCTCAAGTAAGTGAAATCGTTTATATACGTTTAAAATATTGACCTATATGGAAGTTAAATAGTCTAATAGTCAAATTAGCCCTTCTAGCTATAGTAGAATCAGGTGGTGTAATCTTCGAAAAGAGATAAGCAAGAAAAGAAGATAATCGTTATGTTTTAAATTAATTGCTCTTGGTTGTATCTATACTTTTGGATGCTTGCGTAAGTTCAAGCTACGCGGAAAGAGGGATCTTTCTTTATTTATCTGGACTTGTCAAACTTGCTACACTACTAGCGCTAATTATTGCGTTTGATCAGCATGAGACGCTGAAAATCCCTAGTTTATATTAATTAGATTTACAAGGGCTACAATCTCTCACATATCACTAAATGTTTAACATTTACATAAATATAGTTAATGATTAAACATGCAGGCAGTAGACATTTCAATTCAATCTAATCTAATAACACAGTTATTTTAGAATATTTGATTCAATCTACTTTTAATAACTATGTATGAATGACAATTTACAATTTCAACTTTTTGAAATCGTTATCAAATGTCAATTGTCAAAACTTAAACGTCAAGAACAATTAATTACGATGAGTTATCTCGAAAACTCAAGCAAAATACGTAATCATTTTGTATTTTAATACGATTAGTGATTTGAGCAAAATACTTCTTTATAGGCACAAAATCGTTTATACAATACAACATTGCCTATATCAGTGTATCTACAGATGTATTTCAAAAAGGTATATTCACAAATAGATTTGAAGAACATTCTATTGTCTATGAAAAATCGACGGATGGAAATTCCTAGAGAATTTAAAGAACGGATTTGTTTATAATATATTATTAACAGTATTACATTATTCTCTTCAAATTGAACACAAAAATTATAAATTACTTAGTACTCTATATAAAAAATATTGTATACCCTTCGTCATACCAGGGCACCAAACTATGTCAAGTTTAGTATCATGAACCATTATACATCGCGTTCATTTGTTAATTAATTCACTTGATTGTTAATAAACAAGTCATGGATTCGATCCCCACTAGGTTCTACATTTGCTAGGACTAGATTTCGTCTGGAAATCGTAAAATTAAATAAACTGTAGGAATCCCGTCAAGGTCAACTAACCACATTTTGGCTTTGGATATTCAAAAAGCAGAAGTAAAAAGAAAACGAACGCAAACCGAAAATAAATTTATTTACAGCAGCTCAAGTACTTTTATCGTGCCCTGCGAATTTGCGGCCAAAAGCACCGGTCTGTCCACCGACCGCCGCCAGCAGACAGCCGAGACGAACTCACTCGGCTCCTCATCCCGTCTCTCTCTCTCCAAGAACCCCCTCACCGCTTCGAACCTGTACGCCAACAGCGGCCTGGACACACCATTATAATAAACATACAGAGCATTATTTTCCGACCCGCAAGCCACATATTTCCCATCTGTCGCTAGACCGACGAAGTTCTTCTCGTTCGCGTGCCCCGTGAAAGACCGGACGCACCTCGGCGAATCTACCCTCCACAATTTCAACATGGAGTCCGTAGACGCGGAGACGAGGGTCTTCGAGTCGAGGAACTGGACGTAGGACACCGCCTTCCTGTGGTCACGGAGGACGGCGAGGGGGGGAGCGGGGGGGCGCGCAGGTCGTAGTAGTGGACGCAGTGGTCCGCGGAGCCGAACGCTAGATGGCAGGAGGAGTTCGGGTTAAAGCGGACGCAGCACACGTTGAACTTGGCTTCGAGCGTGGCCACGGATCGTTCGGCGTTGAGGGACCACAGCTTGACGCGCGCGTCGTCTGACCCGGACGCGAGGAGGCGGACGTCAGCGCGATTGAAGTGCACAGACCAGCAGCGTTTGTCGTGCTCCTATTAAAAAGTTTTTAGCGTTAAATTATTTACTATACTGTCTGTCGTTTACGCGAGTAGTACACAATTAAATAAAACACTTTAACTGTTCAAAACGCGATATATATTAGTTAACTTGTTTTTAATGTCACTCCGTCCCGACGTTAACTGAATACGCCTTAAATGGTTTTAATAAAAAATAAAACACATTTAACATCGGGTCGTTTTATGTACTAACATTACCGCGACGTACAAGCTTTGTAAAGTGAGCGAGACAATTCCTGAGACAGTTGGGGCTGATTGAAAATAGTTTATTGGGTTGGATCATAGATGGCGTTGTTCACAACATAATAATAAAACACTTTTAAATGTTTAAAGTTCGATGCCTTTTTATATATTTTCTCTTTTGCATAGCGCAAGTCTCCTTTTACTGTATTGTACCTTAATTTATATTAGTCACTATCATGCAATAATTTAAACTATATAAGTGTTTTACTCATATTTTGACTAATTTAATTTGCGTTTTAAACCATTAAAGAGTTCCATTATATTGCGGACAACGCTATCTGTGGTCCAATTCAAGAATCTTTTTTATTCATAAGTAAGTACATTTTTTCTCTATGTAAGCTCTAATATTACCTGCAAGGCTCTAGTTCTGAGTCCAGTAGCGGCGTCCCAAACGGCAACAGTGCCCTCATAGTCTGAAGAAGCCAGAACGTTCTTGTGGTACGCGTTCCAAGAGACGCAGGATATCTTGTGGGAGCATTGCATCTCCGCACAGGGGTAATGCACGTCCACCGCGTCACGCACCACAGACTCGAATTCGAAGACCTGGAGAATTTTAGTAGGTGAAATACAACAGCCACCTATATAACATCTAAACAAGAGAAGGAAAATACTGTCTATAGTTAAGCGTACACATTTAAATAAAACACTTTAACTGTTCAAAACGCGAAATATACCACGTATATGACCACGGCTGCTACGAGGCATCCAAAACGTCGGGCCGTAGTTAAAATCATTTTCAAATATTTTGACTAATATATTATATCGCGTTTTACACCGTTAAAGTGTTTTATCTAAATAAGACATCTAGTGGCTTCGATTTATTTAAGCTTCGAATATTCGGAAATCCACAAACTGGAACCGAAACGCGACTATCCTTCACGGCTTTTCTATCTGTGGAGACGTGTAACAAGATGCGTTGTCAGCCTATTCTGGTTTTTGCAGTCGTTCACCACTGAGTGAAACGGAAATGCATGACTCGGATCGAAGAAGATATATATATATATATAAAGAATTTTCAACATTTATTATTATGGATTAGACTTCTAATGAATATCTCATTTTAAACAGTTTTAAGTGTTTATTTAAATATATTAATCGTAACTGAGAAATAGTTTTCGACCTTTCGCCTTCGCCATCGCGAGAGGTTGTCATTATAATATGATTCTTGATAATGAAAACTTTTGAATTCGACGAAAGACAGACAATGCGAGACAAGGAGAAATACCCCAGTCATAGAGATAGGTCGACATCTATTCAACGTGCGATGTCGACCTATCTCGGGTTTCGATTATCTCCCCCCCCCCACTTACCTTAATCCTCTTAGTAACACCAGCAATAGCGAAGAATTCATCATCCTTATCAAACTCGATAGTAGAGACGATAGTTGAGTAGTTGATGGCGTCCGAACAGTAGGAGAGGGTCGCGAGCGGTCTCAACGCTCTGTACCGGGTGAATGCAGCCAGGTCCTCGCGGAACGCGTCCAAACCGCCGAATCCCTCCGCCCCAACGGCCATCGGGGTCATTGGCTGAACGGGAGCGTCCCCTTCAGGGGCTCTCTGGTCACCGCCTGAAAGAGAGAAACATATATTTCATTAATAACATAAATGTAAAAAGGGCTACGTCCTATGCAAAATCCAAGTATGCACACAACAGAATAATATTAAATATTGTCTATAAGTTTACGCGAGTAGTACACATTTAAATAAAACACGTTAACGGTTTAAAACGCGATATATTAGTTAAACTTATACACCCCCCCCCCCCGAGTCTCCCCGTGACCACGGCTGCTGCAAAGCATCCGAAACGTCGGGCCGAATTGAAAAAAATATTTTCAAATAAGAAAATATCGCATTTTAAACCGTTAACATGTTATATTTAAATGTGTACTACTCGCGTAAACTATAGACAGAATAATGTTATGAACAATTAATAAACTATTTCTTTGCTTCATGGGATGTGTACAATAAATGCTGTTAAAACAATGTGAAATCTTGAAGTTCCATTTGACTTTTGCCAGGTTTCATTAAATCAGTCATTTCTTAGTAATTCAATTCTAATAATAACTGGCTAAGCCAAGTCGTGGTTAATAATCATCAGGTCCAACATGGCTCTAAATTAATATCTATTTTAGGACACGTGCAGGACTAGAACTAGGCATCCGCACGTTCCTTGCTGCTCATCTGCGTCAGCTGCGTCATCGTCGAATTTCTTCAACCTATTGATACATGCACCATTCGCACAATGCCGGTTCAAATCTTGTCCATGTCGTATTTTTTTTTAAATACAAACAGTTTTTTTCATTAAATTAAACGGTTTCAATGAATTTATAATTTTCTGAAAAATGTTGGCGGTAGGAACATCAAAAATTCCGTTTGGGTCATCAACCACCGTCAGCAGATGACGTCACATGGTATCAAGAAGCCAGTAGACCAAATTACCAGCTGCACTCGAAGCCCTTGTCTCAGGTGTCTGCTGTGGGACATGGTCGGCTTCCGAAGCACCACTTGGGACGACAGTAGGCACGACGGGCCCAGGGGTGGATGACGGACCCACTCCAGCTGGTGTTGCCCCATCTGACCCAGATCCGGGGAAGTACAGTTCATCGGCTCGATGCGCAAAGTAACACTGGGAATTTGAGAGTTGGAATATTATATCTATAATATATAAACATATTCGTATATTAAAACTGATTAGTTTGTTTGTTTAAATTAGCTCAAAAACTACTTGTTCAAAATGGAAGATTATTTGTGTGTCGGTTAGGGCATTATTCGAGGCTTTAAGCTGTGAAAAGATCACGCTGCGGCTAATAGGAGCGAAGAATGAGTGGAGAAATGTGGGAATAATCCACGCGGACTAAGTTGCGCGCACAGCAAGTATACTAATAAAGAATGATAAGCTTGTCAATTTAAAAGAGAGATCTCCAATTTTATTTACATATGTAGTTTGTATACGAAAAATAATTTGTAAATTGTGTTTCACGACATCGCCATACTCATAAAAGAAAAATAATTGAAACAAACCTGAACAAAGTCATCAAAATGCGCAGCGAGCCTCCTCCACCTCTGCGCAAGCGCATCCGTCCCGCCCCACCCCGCGCCGCCCGCCCCGCACACAGATCCGAAGCTCTCCTCTTCCTCTTGAGTGTATCCCTCTAAAAATTAAACCTCTGTGTTTAATTTTAGAGTTCACATGATTTTATTTTATATTAAAATTTTATATGCATAATAATGTATTTTTATAAGTTAATATAGAACATTGGGTTGACACATTTATGTGTCTGATGGATCTATTTTATTTATAGACCAGTTGCTCTGACTTCTGTACTTGAATTAACACAACTCTTAAGTTGGAATGCCGGGGAAATAATGTGAAAAAAGCACAGACACATCTTCGCCTCTATTAGTTAAGTTTTTTTTTTATTTGACATGATTTTTGGACTTTTCTTTGCAATAGCACGTCACGGCGCAGAAGTAGGATCAACTGCTTTCCTATAAATAAAATTGATTAGTAAAGCGGACACAGACATTTGTTTGCCCACGGCCCATGGTAAGGGGAGGAGAGGAATTTTTTTAAGGTCAATGACCCAAATGTCCTTTTCTTAACTGACAGTGTGAATACCTAATGCATGCCGACGTCGGGCATTATTGACTCAGGTCTGGGAGCACGTTTGTACGACTCCAAAGTAAGACCGAAATGTCCTAGAAATTGACAGTACTTACGTTGAGTATCAGTCTCGCTAACTTCCCGCTTCAATCTACCCCCTTCCCTGATCCATTCAGCCAGCGACTGTTCAGTGGGGGAAGGTATCCGACCCACGTCAGCAGCTCCGGCTTTAAGGTCGCGCAAAACTGTCGCCACGTGGTCCATATCCTGGAAAAGATATGCAACGGTTTATTTCTATATATTCATTACATATACGTTGTCTAACGTAAGTGCACGAATTGTAAATAATATATTGTTTTTAAAACGCGATATATTAGTTCACTAATAGATCGCGTTTCAAACCGTTAAGTGTTTTCTTTAAACGTGTACTACTCGCGTAAACTGTAGACAGTATCTATTATGTTAGGCAATTTTTTATAATGTATCTATAAATTAATATAATTTGCTGGGTCATAGAATATGAGTGTTCAACTAATATATATTGCGTTTTAAACCGTTAAAGTGTTTTATTTCAAAGTCTGACATGTTTCAGAAAAATTATAAATCGATAAGAAAAAAGGGTCGAAACCTGACCTATTGATTAGTAACACATTGCTATATATTCTATCGCAATGGAATTTTTCTGTAATGGTAGAATATGTTTATAATGAAATAAATAAATAAAATAAATAATTACACCCTTCTTTTTGGTCATAAACAAATACCTTTCGGACCAGCGCAGCCTCTCTTGACAGCTGTTCCAGCTGGTGTGATCTGTGCCGCAGTAACTGTGATAAGAACTCATATAATAATCTGTGGTGGGCTGCTGCTGATTCAGCTTCTAATAACCTCTTCCGTCTCGTTAGAACATCCAGCATTCCATCTACATCTGACAGTCCTGCAAAGGTTATTAAGGCTTTGTAATATGTTATAGGTTTCATAAAAGTATCTATCTACATAATAATGTTTTAATTATAGATTATTAATTTTATTTTATTTGTCTTGTCTTGTGAGAGCGCGAATCACGTGACTAGAAGCGAGACAACAATAGAAGTAGTAGTGGGGAAAATGTGGAAAAAAATGGGGAAAATTTTATTTTTCCTTCGATTTGTTAATCAGCCATCCTATGTATGGTAGGATATAGTGAGTTACGGGTGAGGAGGGGATATTCTTTGATAACGCACATAATTAAATACTGTCTATAGTTTACGCGAGTAGTACACATTTAAATAAAACACTTTAACGGTTTAAAACGCGATATATTAGTTAATATATCGCGTTAGTGTATATTATATATATATATTATAGTATAGTGTCAGTCAGTCAGTCTCCCCGTGACCACGGCTGCTGCAAAGCATCCGAAACGTCGGGCCGAAGTTAAAAATCATTTTCAAATAAGTTTAACTAATATATCGCGTTTTAAACCGTTAAAGTGTTTTATTTAAACGCACATAATTATAATTACTCTCGGTAAGGAACATAACGCTGATGCTTTGCGCTGGCTTTACTTCAGTGTGACTGACGGATACGTGGGAAAACGGCATCATCCACCGTTGCTGGTGCCTTTCGCGCATTCCAACTTGATGGCCAGGGCGCTCATCGCGCAAACAATGCGAGTGGTTAACATTGTACACCGAAGGATTGATTGTTTTCACGGGGTATTAGAGTGAAATAGCAAGTATTATTTTTAAAGTAATTGCCACTAGTAATGAAAATATTAAAATTATAGTTTTCTTATTGAAAACTTTATTATTTTTGACATGTCATTGCACATGAAGGCACTATATAATTTAAAAATCGAAAATAAATTTGAAAAAATTTTCGACTCGGGCAGGACTTGAACCGGCATCGTCAGCGTTCCGTGTAGTGCTCTACCAATTGAGCTACCGACTCCTACACATCATCGTCGATTTTTTTTCAACTTATTGATAGATGCACCTCTCGCACGATGTAATTTCAACCTTAGCACTTGCGTTTTAATGTGTAAGACTCGGTAGCTCAAATGGTAAAGCAACAGCACAAAACGCTGACGATGCCGGTTCAAGTCCTGCCCGAGTCGAAAAATTTTTCAATTGTTTTTCGATTTTTAAATTATACACTTTTCATATTGTTTTCTTTTATATAGTACATAATATAATATATAATTATGTGCTATCATTGTATTACTGTCGAATTGGATTGTATATTAATGGAAGGATATATCTGTGTGAGTAAAAAAATAAATAAATCTGTTACGATTACGCAAGAAATGTTTTCATCACCAAATTTAGGCATTATGCCTTAATTTCGACTAAATTATTTGTTAGAGTCGTATCAATATAATATTATTATTACAAACGACAAAACAACGTCTGCCGGATCAGCAACTATGATAAAAATTGATACCTAAGTGCCTTGCTTCAGCTGCCACAAGTGCTCTCAACCGTTCTGCATCACCAGGGGAAGGTATAGACGGCACCACTGTGGTGGGTTTGGTGCGTAGTCTGCGTCTCGCAACCAGTTCATTGAGCAGGAAATTCGGGAAGTAGTGGTCGCGACCGGTCAACTGGGCACCACATTTCGGACACCTAAAACATTTGAAAGCCATGATGATAAAAAAAATGGATTCTCCTAATTCCTAGGGGCAAGATAATTGGGAGATATATTGTGTAAGGCTTTCACGGCCATCGTTCAGCATATCATTGTCTTTCGGGCTGTTCGGCCGATGTGAGCGAGAAGAGGTTCACGCTCACATCGGCCGAACAGCCCGAAAGACAATAATTGGGAGATAATTTTGAATTCACCTTTTGGGGCTCCGTTGTAAATTGTCTATGGGCATGAAACATTTTACAACAGAGCCCCTAAAGGTGATAAATCATAAAGAAAACCCACTGTATATGCATCTAGTTTAAGAATACATACTTTCATTATCAACTATTTCCTAAACAGTACAGTATGTCTTACGCGTTGAGGTTCAATGTCCTATCAATGAACATGAATGAATGCGCAGGAGGTGCATTATTAGGGTTTTCATGGATTGTAGAAATTCGATACTGACTTGTGAGACACGGTAGCTCAATTTGTTAGATCAATCACCCGTGTCACTGATTATTTCCCATCTAAATAATTTCAATTGCCAATAAGAAGCCTGTAAATTTTACTGTTGAAGAATATTTAGAAATTAGCCTCAAATAAATATGCAATATTTGAATAAGACACTTTAACGGTATAAAACGCGATATATTTTAGTTCAACTTGCTTGAATGTTATTTTTACTACGGCCCAACTGCTGCAAAGCATCCGAAACGTCGGGCCGTAGTTAAAAATGATTTTCCGACAAGTTTAACCAAAAATATATCGCGTTTTAAACCGTTAAAGTGCGTGCTACAGACACTATTTCGAGATACAATACCTTCTATGTAGTTCCACAGACTTAGCAATACATGAATAACAGAAGGAGTGACCGCAGCGGGTCACATATGCTTCGTCTATTAGTTCAAAGCACACTGGACATAAGAGATCGCAGTCTTTGTCTTCTAGGGAACCACCGAGTCCACCGAGGGCTGTTACGGAGGTACTTGCACCGGAATTACTCGCCCCGCTGGCAGCTGTGCCCGACATTGTACTGAAAGATTTAATGTTAGATGTGTGTGAGTTTGAAACGTCGGTGTGTGGCCTTGTGCGGAAGTAGATGACTGTGGGCCAGCGATGATATAAGAATTTATATTTTAACTATTTAATTTAAATATTAATTATGTCTACAGATAAACTTTTTATTCTATATTTGGGACAGTTGGTAAAAAGGGGAATGTTTTAAATAACACATGGAAGAACTCTTGTGTGTATGGTCTTAATTATGGCATTGTTGAAAAAACTATGAGCATTTTCCCACTTTGATCCAATGGGATAAAAGAAAAGAGAGGAGTTTAAGACAACTGCTGTTAACACAAGCAGTACACATAAAACAACAGCGTATCTAGTCTACTTTAGCTACTTCCACAGTTATGACATATGGCATACTAGTGTAGTGCAACGCTGCTAACATTGAATGCAACTTTGTGTTGCTAAAAAGGACAGTCCGAACTATCTATGGTATCGGATCTCGGGAGTCATTAAGTGATATCTTTAAAAATATTGGCATACTTACTTTGTACTCACAGTATATTTGTAAAAATGTATTGTATGCCCATAAGAATAAAAGCAAGTTCAGCAAGAATAGTGACAGACATAATTTGTACTTGAGAAATAAGGATAACGTCGATATCCCCAAATATAGGCTCCATAAAATAACTAATTCGTTTGCAGGAAATTGTTTTCGTATGTATAATACAATCCCAGTTGAGGTTACAAATGAATCAATAAATAAGTTTTAAAAAATCATAAAATTTAATTTGTCTCAAAAGCCGTATTGTTTGAAAGATTTCTTAATGGCAACAATGTCTGGCAGTGGTATGAATTGCTCCTTAGGTTAATAAATTCAGAAAAATGTATCAGTTGATAGGAGATGTTTAAAAAAGCCGGACTCAGTTTCTTGGGTGTGCTCAGTCATGTTGCTCTTTGGAACACTGAGAATCAGGACAGACAGGCGGACAAACATTTTTGAACAATCTAAATAATTTTTAAAGAGAATAAACTATTTGAAAACTTTATTATTTTTTACATGTTACTTGCACATGAAGGCACTGTACAATTTAAAAATCGACAATGAATTCAAAAAAAATTCGATCCGGGCAGGACGTGAACTGGCATCTCAGTTGACTTGGTAGCTCAATTGGTAGAGCAACAGCACGGAACGCTGACGATGCCGGTTCAAGTCCTGCCCGAGTAACATGACGATATGTAAAAAATAATGTAAAGTATATTTAATGACTATAAATAAATTGTAAACTAAATATGAAATATACAAGGCAAAAAGCTATATACATTTTTCATGCAGCGAGTCTAGCTGTCATGCAATAAGGTGAAAATAATAAATATTATTTTCTTATTTTCTATTGGGGACACAGTAGAAGGCCTGGTAAACAGTTAACATTATCTGCTGACTATTTCGCCCATAAACTATAGATAAATAAAATAACATATATTATATCTATAGTTTATGGAGTTTAATTATTCCATAAACTATAGAAATTACTCACCAATAAATAGTTAAATTTACTCTTTCAAGAAACTAGTATAGATGTGGTTTCACCTACAGTCATATGAAATGCGATACACTTGTGGTTATCGATGTTTAAAATTATTAATCTTAGGAATTATGTGATCCGAGCAAGAATATAATGCTCCACGATATGTTACAACCCACCGTTAGACTAAAATTAGAAGGCTCCGTAGCTACTGAGACTAGGTCACTTGATAATTACCAAATGGAGTGTGAAATCAAATATCCAATTATAGGTGTCTTCTTATATGAGTATTTTCGAAGATTGTATGACCTTCCCTTTTTATTACAGAGCAGGACAGACCAGCACCAAGTTCACTGAATGGTGAAATATCCCAGCCGTAGAACATCATAACAAGATGCATTATTTCTCTTTGGGACTCAGAATACCCAATTATACTTTTCCAGTTATCCAACTGTAGTGGCAGATCATGACTCCAAAAGAATTTTAATATTCCTACCATCCAATAAACTCAAACATGTTTCGACATAATTATAAATTGAGTTAAAAATAATGTCTAAAAAGTATGAATAAGCATTCATATTATATTTCATTGTAACAGAATAAAAGTTGTATGTAAAAAATGCTATTATAATATTATTAGCTTCCTATTTATTTATAAGCAGATGTATTGTGTACTGATTTATGGATTTTACATGGAAATGATGAAAATAACATATTTTAATAGATACACCTCTAATAACTCAGTTTGTTACTGTTAGGAGAGGTTGTAATAACTTACGAAAGAATTGTATTTCACTTTTATCCAAGCGAGTAATTAGTTCATCTCTTAATGTCTTAAAAACACTTATTCACAACATTTGTATCTTTATTTCGTAAAGAACAAATAGATAAAGCCACCGCCCCTATGCACTTAAACTAAATAAAAGTCGCAGGATATCTCAGAAACATTGTCACAGTAAGTGATAACGACACTACACACTTAAGTTTTCTCACAAAAACCCGCCATCACTGAATAATTTATTATTTAATTTGCGAAGATAAAAGCCTAGAACGGGCAAATTCCTGTGCCATTCGCATATTTCTATTTTTTATTGTTTTTGAAGTTTCGATTTGACATTTCTGTTTTACATAATTAACAACTGACAGCTGTCAACAAACTTTCCTGTTTTTAAAATAGCAAAAATGTTTTAGAATTCAAAGACAAATAGCCTAAAACTTACATATCTAACTTTAATTATTTATATATTTTAATGAGGATACAAAATATTTAAATAATTGTTAATATATCGAAAATTATTCAAAGCTTTACTAACGCCATCTATGATGTTATCACTAAACTACGTGCGAAAATGCCGAGTGAACAGTTTCAGGAACGTTTGACGACTAGAGGCAAACGCCATTTTGGTAATACTGTGGTTGCATTATCTTTCGTCAACAATGTAATGTTCTTGGTGAAATGTTTCTTAATTTTTATGAGTGTTACTGATGCTAATTATCTAGTTAGGGCTAGTGAAACGTAAACAAGATAATGGAAGAGTCCAACGAGGACCTAAATGTCGTTCCTGGTGAGTGCAGTGCTACAAAATCGTGCTTGAAATTACAAATGTCCTAAGTGCAAGGTTGAATAAAGATGTCTTACCCGGTTTCAGAACTCTACTTTTTGTTAGCGAAATTTCTCTCCGGGGGCCCTTTGAAGGAAACAGCGAAGGTAAAAATGATAGAATAACAATTATATTTTCGTAAAATCGTGTCAAACATGCTAAAAACTGTATCTTTGTATTGCAGACTTTGTTGAAAGAGTTGCAGAGCGTTGAGGTAAGTTTGAGCTTTTCGTAGTACTAGAGCTAGAGCTTACAGTTGTTTTGATCGTAAACGCACGTGGTTGGCTTGTCAAACGCGCTGAAACTTTCTGAAAAACTTTTTATGCAATTTTTTCCCTTGCAGGTGCTACCTCGTCGACTCGACTGGGAGGGGAACGAGCATCCAGTTTCGTTCGACGAATTGGTGAGTTTATTTGGTTTTAACGTAAATATAGTGTTTATTTACGTTTTTTTCATTGAATTAGCGATGCGATAACAATAAATTTCAGGAAAATGCCTAAATTGCTTAAAACGTATATCGTGTCAAACTAAACTTTAAAATACGGTGGAAATTCGAGAAATCGAAAATTTTTGTTTTCCAGTCATTATTTTCGTTAAATTTTATGTTTTATATAAAAATTTCATTTACATCCATTCTCCATTGTGATAGCGTAATTTCACATGCGGCTGTCTCGTTCTCCCCTACTATTACACTCGTATAGTAATAGCGCTATCTCATTCATCTATACGAGAGGCCTTTGAGAGCTGCGATTGGTCGTTGTTTGACGATCTTTCGCGAACCACAACATACTCTGACGTTCTTATATTGGCGCGCAATTTTAAACATGTCTGAGGTGTTTATAAATAAAAAAGTATTAAAATTGATGCTCAATACAAAGTAGAATTATTATTGCATAAACATTATTTTTGGCCCATGAAGTATCCATACTAATTACTTATATTCAAAGTATGGGTAGTGTTTTAAGAAATAGGAACAATTATTTCAGAGAGTATAATTGGACTCGAACCCACGATAGGGTAGTTTCGATGACTACAGAGTAGTAGAATAAGAGATGCTGATGGCATTTTAGGTTTTTTTTTATGTTTACAGAGTTTATTCTCGATCATTTATATAAAAATACCTACTTACTGTTCAGTGCATTGCGAGTTTTATATACAATTAATTATAGATATAAATATGAGGGTAGACAATTTGAGTTGTAAAATGCAGACATTTCTAGGACGGTTAATTACAATAAGGAATTTATTGTCTTATTATATATTGTAATCTTATTAAATTAGACTTAATATCTATTGACTCTTGTAACTTGATAGCTTAATGCATATAATAATCAAATTAGCGCGACATGGTAGCTCAATTGGTAAGAGGAACAATATGGATCGAGTTCCAATGATGTTGGCTAAAGTCACTGAATTTTATTCTGATTTTTATTTATTATTTCATTTCTAATTCATATTGTTTTTTTTTTCTAGAACTCACAATACTCAGATGTGTCATGGCGGCGGCTTGCAGCTGTCTGCGAGCGGGCCCTTCGCTTGGCTCGTTCTGCCCCTACATCCACCCTCAAAGATCCCACCGAGCAGAAGCTGGATGCTCGGCTGTCATTGCTCAGCGAGTCACTTGTCAGACCGAAGCCTAAATATGCATCATTTAAACAGGATCATAGTTTAAGTGAGTTTCTCTTTAAGTAAATACTCACTAATGACACTCCAGTTGTGTAGTTATAAGTAAATAGAAGACACAGTAATGAGCAGGTTGTAGGTTTGATTTCTACCCCATACTACAAACTACAGACATTATTAAATACTGTATGTGGTTTACTCGTTAGTTGTTAGTACACATTTAAATAAATACTTTAACCGTTTACAACGCTGTATATATTTGTTAAACTTACTTAAAAATGACTTAACTACGGCCCAATGTTTCGAATGCTTTGCAGCAGCCATAGTCACGGGGAGACATTACTTCTCAACTAGATGTGTCAGGGACTTCGCTAGCGTAGAATAGTTACTGGTATCAAACTTGTTTTTGCAAACTTTCTGTTCAATTCTATAAATGTAACCTTTTTGCCACGATGTCCACCGCGTCATGTCGTTCCTGCAAGATAATCTTAAAAGATAGACATATATTGTCGAAGACATTTTTTTTATTATTTAAAGTGGAATCATATTTTTTGGAAATCATGATCCATTTTCGCAACTATTAGTTAGTCGTTATGCAATTAGTCACAGCGCGATATTTTATATCCTATAGCCGTAGTTATATGTATATAACTCCTCTAACAAACACAAAAGTAATTTTGTCTAATCGAACCAGTAGTTCCTGAATACTCCACACTGTCAGCTGAATGTTTCACCCTTTACTCCATTGTGAGATTTGTACTCCTAAATCAATTCACCATTACAGTAAGGCGGTTAGTATGCCGTGAACTGGGTGGCGGGCCTAAGGGTCCAGCAAATGGTGCTGGCGTCGCAGCAGCCGTGGGTTATCCAGGTCCTTTCCCTGCGAGGCAGTTGAGGAATCTACAGCTGCAGAGGCGGACCCTGGGACACTTGTCAGCTGTTTATTGCTTGGTGTTTGATTGCACTGGGAAATACATTATTACGGTAAGATTGTCTTTTTCATTTGAATGGCTGTTACACTGATCAATTTAATTTACATGCTCTGTTTTTTTTTTCTAGACCGCCCCTGTAGATAAAAGGTTAAACGTGTCGCCTTGCAGTGCGTAAAGCGCGAGACGTCCTGGGTTCCAAAACCGAGGAAACTGTAGGATGTTTCGTTCAGACAGGGCACAGAAATCTGATTACCTATCCTTACTAATATTATAAATGCGAATTTTAATGAAATTTGGTACACATATGGTCTAGACCCTGAGAAAGAACATAGGCTACTTTTTATTGCGAAAAGGGGGTTAAAAGGGGAGGGGTAAAAGTTTGTGTGGAAATTCGTGGTTTTTGAAGATAAAACATTGAAACTTTCTTCTTTAGCATTTTGAGAATAGGAGTGGGAGTGGGAGCGATGTGAGGTGAGAATGTTGCGGCAAAGTAGCACGTACGACATAGATTGGTTGCGATAAATACGCAATTACATACATTATTATTATTTTCTTTTGGGGACACCCTTGGCAGGACGGGTGATCAGTCCACGTCATCCGCTGACCACTTCACCCATTTCCCCAAATTACATAAATTGATAAACAGCCTAAATAATTAAAAATTCTTCCACGCAAACAAAGTCACGGGCTTAGCTAGTTTTTAAATAAAACTGATAAGTGAAATGGACACAGAAACTTCTCGCCCCATGCCCCACGAGGGGAAACGGGATTTCACTTTTAGTAATTTTCAATTGGGGACACCCACTTTTCCAGACCCCTTTGCAAACCTTCAAACCTTTTTTCCACATTTCCCACTGTTTCTTTACTCCTTTTGGTCGGAGCGTAATGTTTTATAGCCTAAAGCCTAATTAAATGCGCTAACGAACACAAAAAGATTTATTAAATTCGAACCAGTAGTTCCCGAGATTAGCGCGTTCAAACAAACTCTTCAGATTTATAATATTAGTATACAAGACATATTTCATTTCAGGGCGCTGATGATCTACTAGTAAAAGTTTGGAGTGCAATAGACGGTCGTCTGTTGGCTACGTTACGCGGCGCAGGCGCAGAGATAACAGATGTTTGCATATCAAGCGATGGGGCTTTGTTGGCCTGTGGTTCAGTGGAGAGACTTGTGCGTGTGTGGTGTTTGGTTACCGGGGCACCGCGGGCGGTGTTGCACGCGCACGCTGGAACAATTACTTCAGTAAGTAACTTCAAAAATGATCTGTATAGAGATTCGGCCAAGTGTGAGTCAGAAGTTTTTTATGATAGAGGAGCGTGGTGTTTACTCGATGGTGGGTGAAATATCTAAAAAGACGGTGGTTCGTTACGTGGACGGAATTCACCAATTTAACATCCTGATTTCCAGACAGTCTCACATGTTTTAGCAGTAATATAAATTGTTTGAAAATATATTGGACTCGGTGAGGATCAAAGCGACGACCTGTTGATTAAGCACACACTGCTACCATTACATCAACGTGCCCGTCGATGGCAATATAACAGTCAACCTCCATAATAATGTTCTACTGAAACTTTAAATAAACTTGGTAGTAATTAAAGTATTAAATATTTTTTATTTATATATGACGTAGATGTCATATTAGCAAAATTACTGTTGATAACATATGCTTAGGCACTTAAAAGGAAAACTCACAAGTATGTGGTTAACTTATTGTACGGGAGGGAGGGATTGTAGGGGGGCACATATTAACAGCGAAGACAATAGATAATTTTTGAACTGCTTATATTTTTAAAGCTAGCCAGTAAAATATAACTTTTTGCCCATTTCCAGGTGCACTGGGCGCCACCAGCGCACTCTGACGTCAGGTGGCTCGCTTCCACCTCTACGGACGGGTCCGTTGCGTTCTGGACGTGTTCAATAGACGGGCAATTCTTGTCCCAGCCCGTGCAGTACGTAGAGCGGATGCGTCCAGGGGCCTGTCATATGATATGTGCTGCTTGGTCTGCTGGTGGTGCTTTTCTGGCAGCTGGAAGCGCTGATCATCACGTCAGGATATACTCTGTGGCTGTGGGTGGACCGAGGAGAGTGCTGGAGACCGCTGTTCATTTAGATGCTGTGGATTCTATTGCGTGGGCGCATTGTGGGTTGAGGTGTGTTGAGAATGTCATTTTTTTTACCAAAAGACGTTACAGCAGTCATTGGTAAAACTCTGCCTATCACGGTCCTTGACCTATCTTTCTTCGTGACAGACAGACAACCATTATGGTTTTTGTTAAATCGATATAAGTGAATATATTGTATATAAATTATAATTTATAGCGGCATGAGAATTATTTAAATGGTAAAAATTAAACTACTGGCTATCGTGGTACTTGAATTGTCTGACCTGGTCATAGACAGACAAGCATTCTAGTCTTCGTTGTAGTAAATATATTGATTTATTAATAACTAAAATTCCGTCCCCCACGTCCCCCACGGGGGTGGGGATCTTTGGTTAAGTATTTTGTGTATTTTACACGAATGGTACACATTTAAATAAAAAACTTCAGCGGTTTAAAACGCGTAATATATTACACTTACTTAAAAAAAAGTCTCCCCGTGACCACGGCTGCTGCACAATATCCGAAACGTCGGGTCGTCGTTCCTTTTTTTTTCAATATGTTTCGCGTTTTAGACCGTTAAAAGTGTTTTATTTGAAATAAAAATACATATTTTTTATGTGTTATAATTATATTTACAGCCAAATAGTTGGTTAGTTCGCGCTGCCAATCTAACTAATTACTGCGTTTTGCTTTGTATATTTACTTGCCTAGCGTTATATGTTTCGCGTTTTAAACCGTTAATCTAATTAAAACTTTCAGATTCGTATCAGGAAGTAAGGATGGCACGGCAGCCCTTTGGACATTGTACGCGACGCAATGGAGGCATTCGCTATTGAAGACCTTCACTGCCGATGATCAGAAGAAATTGAAGGTTAACCTTCTCTCATTCATCTTCTATAAATCCCCCCTTTACGCCTAATTGGCCTTCTATTGCTCTAAGCACGACTTGTCCTGGTTTAAATTCCCGGGGAGAATAATTTTGACTTGACTGTTTATTTAACTTCAGTGAAAAAGTTTTCACTGCTTACTGATAAGTTTTATAGTGTAATATGTTGCTTTTTGAACAGTCTAAATATGAAAATAACAGCCTATACTTTATCTAATACAAGAATGATAGGTTACACAAGTGATGATGTGTGTGTGTGAGAGAGAGGGAATGTCTCTGCTGTGGGTGGGTTTTTGTGTGTACAAGTGTGTGTGTTGATGTGTGAGGGCATTTATTAATAGAGTGAATATGCGTTGTCGACCTATGGCTTTGGATATTTGTTTTTTTTTTTTTAATATAGCTCTTGTATTTTTCAGGTGACAATGGTATGCTGGGACTGTAGCGATGAATATGTAATGACAGCTGTCTCGGATAACACCGTCAGGGTAAGTTTTTAACGGATTAATTCGCTGTAATTTCTAAAATTAATTCATAAGACAATTCGTCGAAAACAAAAAGGGGGTTTCCACACGATATCAGACACGTTTCATAAAAATTACAAATTTATAAAAAGCAGGTTGTATTCCGTGGGCATCGAACCGACAACCCGTCGAATGAGCCATACATTACACCAACAAGTCGGTAAAGAATCTATTGTTCGTCTTGTTTCGTCGTTCTTGAGAGAAAAAGTCGCCGATAGTCGTTATCTCGCCGGCTATGGGACTAAGGTAATGAGCTCCGCATCCCAACCGTGGGACTAAGGAATGCTAATGTAGTGAGCCTCGCGCCTCAACCATGGGTCCCTCGTGTCCCAGCCGTGGGACACTGTTAGTGAGCCTCGTGCCCCATTATTGGGACTAATTAATTTTTTTATTGCTCTCTTTTTTAGTGTGTTCTTAATATTTCAGGTATGGTGCTCCCGTACTTGTACGCAAGTGCGAGTTCTGTCTGGACACCGTGATGAAGCGTACGTGCTGGAAGCTCACCCGTACTTACCCGGTGTGCTGCTATCTGCCGGACACGATGGTCAACTATTCGTATGGGACGCTACATCGGGAGAGGTAAATATGACACTGAACAACTGAGCACTATTTTATTCATTGCGTGGCCCGTTATTGAAATGGGCTATTTGACAATGCGAAAAATATAGCGTCAGTTACTGTTCTCAGTCTTAAGTATACGTTTAGAAATAGTAAAACAGTCACATATGGTAAAAATAATTATTGATTTAAATAAATAAAAACCGCAAATAAAACTTTTTTAAATATCACGTGACATAACGCTCCCGATTGTTCGGGTTAATGACGTCACTTGCTTATACACAGTGCAAACCACGGCGCTTCCTAATTTCCTAATTTTATACTAATCCTAATCACTGTTAAAATGTAAATATTTGGGACAAATGCATGTAGATTGTAGATCATAATATGATCGACATACACCAATGGCCGATATAAGGTCGTGACGTCACTAGCCGTACTGCAATGTCATTTCGCAAAATTAGCGTTTAGGCGCGCAATTTAAATGTTGGATTTTAAATTTGATATATATAATGTCACCTCCATTGTAAGCCGTATAGCTTTAAAGGCTGAACATATTCTGATGGATTTTTCACGATGTATCGTTATAAGATTTGTACGTCATATTTTCGTTTCTTTAGATTCTAGCACAATTCCACAACGTAATTGATGGTCAAGGCGAAGGTGCTATATTTGACGCGAAATGGGGCGGTTTTGACACAATAGCCGCATCCGATTCCCACGGCCACGTTCTACTGCTGGGCCTGGGGCGTGGGCACAGGCTGCTCTCAATGTTACCCACGGAGCTGTTCTTTCATACCGATTACCGGCCATTGGGTAAGTTTTATAAACATATTTCTGATATATTAACATGTATATATTGGAACGGTCATTAGTACGGCATGTCAAAGGAAATTAGTTTAGCATAAAAAAGGTTCTTGTGAGGTAATCTCAAAACATACACATGACAGACATATTATTTAAAAAATAATTCTTTCATACATATTTTTTGGGTACCTTGGACCGTTTTCGCAGCCCAAGCAACGGAAACGCACAAAGACGAATCACTTTTCCCCTTTTTTCCATATTTCCCTCTGTTCTTGAGCTACTATTGGTCGCAGCCTAATTTATAGCCTTAGGGCATCTCTCGATAAATGGTCTAAGCAACACAAAAAAAAATCAAACCTGCAGTTCTTGAGATAAGCGCGTTCAAACAAAATCTTTGGCTTTATGATATTAGTATAGAAAAGCAACAAATGTTGGAATAAAAATAATCTTTAAAAGTCATAATTTGACTATATGTACATAAAAAATTCGTTTCAAAAAAAATATAAATTAATATTAGATGGTATAGTGGACTTGGTGAAAATCAAGCCCACGACACGTGTGTTTCACTTGACCCAAAAAGCTCGTCAATATAAATAACATAAGACAAGACGTTCTTAAACTTTACAGTACGCGACGCGCTTGGTGGCGCTCTAGACGAGCAAACGGAAATACCGCCACACCTAATGCCACCACCGTTCCTGGTCGACGTCGAGGGGGCGCCACATCCACCTGAGTTTCAGCGTCTGGTACCAGGGCGGGAGAACTTGGCGCTGTCGCAGCTGATACCCCACGCGGATGCAGCTAGAAGCCGGCTGGACGCGATGATAGAGGCTCTAGCAGCAGATCCGGCCACGCCTCCTGCCCATCCTGCACCGCAAGCTGCTGGTAAGTTAATTATACCTGGTACTTGCTTTTTAGAATTATATATTGTAACGGGACCTTATTAACAGAACTTCGTAGTGTTGAGCGTTAAAATTTTAAAATAAAACGAATTTAACGGTTTAAAACGCGCATTATATTAGTTAACTTATCGACCCAGATGTTTGGCAGCGCGATTAAATCGCTGAGTTACGATGGCAAGCGTATTAAATTACCTTAAAGACAGTATCAAGTACTGTCTGTAGTGTACTGTGTATTAGTCGATCTTGTTAACAATGTGGTTACGGGGGACTAGAGATGAAGCTTGTCTTAAAGTAGAATCTGCCACGCCAGCGCCACCTGTTTAGCAGTTCATGTTTTGAATTTTACTTATACTTTTCGCGTAAACTACAGACTGAAGTCATGTTGTATAAGATCCATGAATTAAATGTATATTTGAAAGATGTAACTTTGTGTTGTTTACCTTTATCCAGGTGTATGGCGTGGTGAAGGTGTTCGTCACACAGCTGGTTCCTGGCAGCCTTTGGACGTGCCGATAAGCACTCGGCCTATCGTCATACCGCTGCCAGCAGCGCAGAAGGAACGTCTTGAGAGAGCCAGGTAAGAAAATATCGGAAATAATCTATTAAATATCATATTACTGGCCTTCTTTGTCCTTCCCTATCATATAAGTCTAATCTGCTACGCTAGCGCCATCTATTTCAGCGTAGTTTAGTATTTTTTACTAATAGTTTTACAAATTAATTAATACTTTTTGTAGTTAAGCCTTTTCCTTAAATATTTTAAGTAATCATATACTATATAATTTAAAAATCGAAATTAAATTGAAAAAAAAAAATTTTTCGACTCGGGCAGGACAAAAATGTTTTCAATTTATTTTCGATTTTTAAATTATATAGTGCCTTCATGTGCAATAACATGTGAAAAATATTAATGTTTTCAAACATATACTATATACTAAATTTTAATAATATATACTTTATATGTTGTATGAGATCCTATATACATATAGCGATGTATGATTGAAATAAGTTTATTTCAGTGATAGAGGAGGACAGACGAGCGTAGGGTTCACATGAATACAATTTTTAAACTAAAACGCGATCAAATTTTCTCTTTTCTAGTATGGAGTTAAACAACCTAGAAATGTCGTGGTACCGTCGGGAGATGCGACGTCGCCCACTGATGATATCTATTCCGGGCGGCGACAGCGGGGCTCGCCGGAAACCGGGGCGGAGGCCTAGAGCTCCGGCTCCGCGGGCGAGACCGCAGCCCCCACAACCTCGTACTGTAAGTTTTAATTACTATTGAATACTAGCTGTGTCAGCAGCGACATCGTGCGCGAGAATTGGTTTTTACAAACCCCTTCATCTTTATAAACTTAGCTGTTACCCACGACGTCGGTCCCGTGCAAGTTAATCTTAAAAGATAGACATATTGCGTCGCGGACTTTTTTTTAGATCATTTAAAGAGAAATCATTCTTTCATACATTCCATACATATTGCGGAAACCCACAGAGATGAAATTTTTCCCTTCGTCACATTTCCTGCTGCTTTGCTCCTATTAGTCACGGTGCAAAGTTTTATCCTTAGGAACACAGTAGAATCAGGACAGACAGAGATAAACATTTTTTTACAAATCTAAATAATTCTTAAAATTGTTAGAGAATACAGTATATTTTATTATATCCAACAGTGCGTAACAAATTGAAATGTTTCAGGAGGTACCCGAAGATGCCTGCGAAGAGGAGATCTGTTCGGATAGTTCCAATTCAACATCGGACGAGTCTGTATGCTTGTCTGGCTCGCATTCGTCGCACAGCTCGCGGTCCAGGGCGCCCAGGCCACGGGTTCGGGCCAGACCTAGGATCAACCATGCCAGGAACACTTCACAGTCGAATACTTATAGGTGCGGTTATATGTTCTATGCGGAATCAAGCATATTTTAAACGGGTTAAAGCCGAATTGTATTTGTTAATAAGGCGTGATTTTATTTTCAGTGATTCCTCGCATTCACCCGTCAAAAGTGAAAGGTGAGTGAAGTTTTTAAATTTATAATTTAAGCGTTATTTAAGGAATTGAAATATATTTTAAACTATTTTTGCATTGCTTTAGTGTACACTTTTTTGTAATGAGTGAAAAATGTTGGTCGCGTTAGTGCACAATATCTGAATGAGAATTTGCAAGACGAAAGAGGGACAATATAGATTTTATGTTAGATAGATGTAGATATGAAGAAACTGTATTTTATCACATAAATCTTGAGACTTATTACTTTTATATTGATAAATTAAATTCGTGCGAAATTATTTCCTTAACAATTTAAAACACCAAAGCACAATGTTAATATTAAAATTTCTACTTCGTCAACATATTTTAATACTTTCAACTGTTTTAGTTCTTCAGAATCCTCTCAATACTCCGATTGGGAGGCGGGCACTGCGCTTGCGCCGCCCGCTAGAGCGAGACGGAAGCCTGTTCCCACCACAAGGTATGTTCCGAACCCTTACCATATTTTAACTAATAAGATAAATATTTATCACCATACCAATGATTTCAGTCATGGCCTCTATTCCGTTCTATTAGACATTTTTCCAAGTGTTAGCATTACTTAAATGGATCTCGTTTACCCTCGTTGCAAGTTCAATACGGACTAACGTTTGATTAAATATTCCATTTACAATTCCAGATATACATCGTTGAAGGTAGATGGCGCCACTTGTACATTGTAATTGTTTGGTTACCATAAAATTATATTTAATCATTACATTTCAATACTCCTTCTTTTTGAAGGCTCTCCACGTGACCGACGGACGAAACGTCGGGCCGTAGTTAAAAATAATTTTCAAATAAGTTTAAGTAATTTATATCGCGTTTTAAAGCGTTATTGTTTTATATTTAAATTTCTACTACTCCTGTAAACTACAGACAGTATTCTTCTTTTCTAGATATAGCCCCAGCACAGTTAGCGCGAAACGTACCACTGCTGCCCCTTCCACCCCCAGTCTACCATCCGGCCCCAGCACCAGTGCAGCGCCCCCAGTGGAATTGCCTGAACCTTTTCGTGTTGGCGAATGGTTGACAGCCGTGTCCCCCAGGAAGGCGCCGTACCATCCGCAGATGGGAGATAGATGTGTATACTTTAGATTGGTAAGTTAACTTGATGGAAGGCATACTCTAGTATATCTATAAGATGCTGCCTAGTTTTGGACATTTGGAAATTCACAGGCTAAAACCGAAACGCGATTAAACTTTTTTTTATACTAAGTCAGTTCTGAGAAGTACACAGAACACCCGCGACTTCCTCCGCGTGGAATAGTGACTTGGGGTAGAATTTTTAATTATTTAGGTAGTTCTAGTGCTAGAAGTGCTACTTCTCCGCAACACTCTCACCTCACATCACCCCTACTCTAACTCCCACGCCCACCCCCACTCCCACCCCCACTCCCACTCCCATTCCCAAAAAGCCAAAGAAAAAAGTTATTATTATTATTATTTATTGTTCTAGCTTCAAAAACAACGAATTTCCATACAAACTTTCAACCCCCCCCCCTTTTTAACCCCTTACAACCCCTTTTCGCAATAAAAAGCCTTTGTTCTTTCTCAGGGTCTAGACCATCTGTGTACCAAATTTCATTAAAATCCGTTTCGTAGTTTTGGCGTGAAAGAGTAACAGACAGACAGACAGAGTTACTTTCGCATTTATAATATTAGTAAGGATTTAATTCCTGTATTAATTTCTGATGTGCCACAGAGTAAATGTTTAAGTAAAGTTTATTTATTTTGTATGATAATTATGTTAAATTAGTATAAATTAATAAGCAGGTGTTTTTCTCGTCTTTCTTTTAAGGGCCACCAAAGGTATTTTGAAGCGGTGGCCGAAAAGGATCTCTACAAGATACACCCGAGAGACAAGCCGTGGGAACGGATGCATATCGATGTAAGTGAAATTGTCGTTCTAAGTAATCAATTTCACTGTTTAGTTATTTTAAATGAAATATACTTATTATTTCGGAAAATTCAATAAATGGAGAAGGGCGAGATCCTAATTGAATTACATACATACATTAAACTATGTAAGTGTGACGGAGGCGCATCGAACGCCGCGATTACATGGTACTATTAACATAGTATAAGTGGCGGTACAGATCTTTAGCGCTGAGCGAATCCTGCGCAGAAGTCAAAAATTGGGTTTCAAAGAGACGGAAGCGGGCGCGGGGCGAGTGAACGTCATGTGCGCTAGCGTTGATCGGTTCCCCAGTCGTGTTGTCTCTCTCGGACCAATACGACGCTCCGTTTGCTTCTCGAGTACAGTCACGTTTTCCAATCAATTACGTACGCAATTGTACACATTCGCTACTATCCCCTCTAGACTTCGTTCAGCACTAAACATCCGTGCCGTATACCATTGACTATACCCATTTGTCAACGTTCAAAACCTTTCTGTATGGCGTCCAATGTCTGGATCCCGTCTCCCATATTTCGCTGAGGAATTACTTTTTAGGAAACAAAAATTGTAAATTTAGTATTGTATGTAGCTTACGCTAGTCATTGAAATAAAACTTACACACACGTACATTTAAATAAAACTTAACGGTTGAAAACGCGAAATGTAAACGGTTAACACGTTTAAAGAGTTATGTTAGTTAACTATATGTTATTTATTTGAATTACGGCCCAATATTTTACGTTTTAAACCGGTAAAAGTGTTAAATTTAAATTAATACTGGTCTCCCGCCCGAATTTGCTTTGTAACTTAACGATAATTCATTGCATTAAGTTCAAGGTATATTTGCTTTGGACCCCGGGAATACATAGCTTTCATGAGATTAGGTTCGATGAGCTAATTAAAATCGAACAGATACAGAAGTGTGTCTGCCCCATGCCATACCATAAACTATATTTTTAACATCAAAATTCATCATAGGACTGCGAAGCAGTGAAAGTAGTGGGGATAAAGTACGTGATCAAACCACCAAGGGTGGTCTGTCTGAAGCTGGCGAGGGAAGTGGAAAAGGGCAGCTTCACAGTCCGCTACCACGATATGCCAGATGTCATAGACTTTTTGGTGCTGAGGCACCAGTACGACGCTGCCGTTGCGAGGAATTGGGGGCAGGGAGACAGGTAAACTGTTTATGTGCAAACTTCAAAAAATTGTTCATTTGTCGAAGCTTAATTTAAGCACTAACAAATGTTTAATAGTTAAATAGCTAGCTGTGCTCGCGGCTTCGTCCGCGTATAATAGGTATTTTGGGCATCATATTATTTATTTTTTCAAGCAACCTCTTCAGATTTATAAATTATTGTTGTCACGCATGACGTCGTTCGCTTTTCTTCGTTCTTGCGAGTGTATCTTAAAAGATAGCTATATGTATATATTTAAATAAAACACTTTAACGGTTTAAAACGCGATATATTAGTTAAACTTATTTGAAAATGATTTTTAACTTCGGCCCGACGTTTCGGATGCTTTGCAGCTGCCGTGGTCACGGGGAGAAGTTAAAAATCATTTTCAAATAACCGTAACTAATATATCGCGTTTTAAACAGTTAAAGTGTTTTATTTAAATGTGTACTACTCGCGTAAACTATATGTATATATATCGTAATTTATATATTTTTTTAGATCATTAAAAGTAGAATCATTGTTTCATACATATGTTTTGGGTATCTGAATCTCACGTAATTGATTTTTCCCGTTTTTTTCCACATTTTCCACGGTTGTATCGCTCCCATTGGTCGCAGCGTGACGTTATAGCCAGAAACCTTCCTCGGTAAATGGTCTATCAAAAAGCAATATTTTTTTGTAATTCGAACCAGTAGTTACTAAAATTAGCGCGTTCAAACAAACTCCTCAGCTTTATAATGTTAGTATATAGATATACATATTTCCTTAGTCTTTTAAAATATTGAATTATATTTTCAGGTTTCGCTGTATGATAGACGATTCCTGGTGGACGGGTATAGTGCTGGAGCGGATAAGTCCGGCTGGTGCTCCATCGGGTTCGAGCACAGAGCCCCAAACGTCAAACTCGAACGAGTGGGCGGAAGCCGCTGCTTGTAAGTTAAAAATTGTGAATGCGAATGAACGAAGAATTATCCTTACTAATATTATAAATGCGAAAGTAACTCTGTATGTCTGTCTGTTACTCTTCACGCCAAAACTACTGAACGGATTTGAATGAAATTCGGTACACATATGGTGTAGACCATGAGAAAGAACTTTTTGTTGCGAAAAGGGGGTTGTAAGGGGTTCAAAAGGGGGGATGAACGTTTGTATGGAAATTCGTGGTTTTTGAAGCTAAAACAATGGAACTTTCTTCTTTGGCTTTTTGAGAATAGGATTGGGCGTGAGTGTAGGAATGAGAGTGGGAGTTGAGTAGGAGTGATGTGAGGTGAGAGTGTTGCGGCAAAGTAGCACTTACAACATAGATTGGCTGCCTTAAATGCGGCTTTACCTAAATTAATAAACAGCCTAAATAATTAAAAATTCTACCCCACTACTCCATTTTATATCACTATTCCACGCGAACGAAGTCGCGCAGCTAGTATTCATATATGGCGGTTGAAAAACACTTAACGGTTTAAAACGCGCTAACTTTAATTCTTCCTTAAAGTGACCACGTAAGCATTCAAAAAGTCTATTCGCTGTTAAAACTATGTTAAATAATGGAAACCGTTAAAATTGTTTAATTCAAACGTACTTATACTGAGTGTAACAATATTGCACATATTCTTATGTTATAAGTATTGTCTGTTTATGCGAGTAGGGCACAAACAGACATGTGATAGGTGCATTAAAAAAACATTTTCATTATCTTTTCCGGTTAGGATGCACCCAAAAACTGGGATCGTAGTTAAAACTAAGTTAAAGAAGTTATGTCGCGTTTAAAACCTTCAGAACGTGCCCTATTTTAACGGCATCGTGACGTTTTGAAACACGAAATATTTATGTTTCCTATATATTTTGTGTTCAAAACGCGTCTGTTTAATACTTTGAGCAACTTACATATTATCGCATATGATAGGTACATGAAAAGTATCTGTTTCATAAAACTTCCGCGCAGATAGAGTCGCGGGCGAACGCTAGTCATATATTTGTATCGTTACAGCTCACTTCTTATCGCTTCGCGTAAGATGGGACAATGGGGAGGTTGAAAGGTTATCACCGTGGGATTTGGAACCTCTCGATCCAGATAGGTAAGTGAATAATGTTGAGACAATTTATTAAGTTTGTTTTAAACAAAAAATAATATTTAAACTAAAAAATATATTTTGTATATATTTTCTACTTTTACACGAGCGTAATGTATTTTTTCTAACTTGGCAAAAGATCACAACAAAAATAGCCGATTTAAAACCTTTTTTATAGAGGGTAGTCGTTGACACGGGGGTAAAGAAATATAGATTATAAAGGGACCAAACGGCCTGAATATTCAAAGCACTAATTTTTTACGTCATTATTGTTTAACTCGGAGGTTTATAACGCTTTTCAGCAACGGTGCTTGAGTGGGAGCTCTACCTTCTATTATCGTTGACTTTAAATACTGTCTATAGTTTACGCAGTACACACAGTAGTACACATTTAAATAAAACACTTTAACGGTTTAAAACGCGTTATATTTTAGTTAAACTAGTTTGAAAATTATTTTTAACTTCGGCCCGACGTTTCGGATGCTTTGCAGCAGCCGTGGTCACGGTGAGAAGTTAAAAATCATTTTAAAATAAGTTTAACTAATATATCGCGTTTTAAATCGTTAAAGTGTTTTATTTTAAATCGTTGACTTTGCTTACATCCCATCCCTATGTAAATATCAAACTAAAGATGAAATCTAATTTGATTCTGTCCATTTACGTTAACTCATTTTGAGGGTTCTTATTAATTTTTGCATGAAATTGTGGTTTTTACTGAGTGAATTTGAGGAAGATTCATTCCTTTAATACCTAAAACAGCGTCTCAAAGTAATTCAAGTGTAAATCAATGTAAATCTTGCCAGAAAATCACGATTTCTTATGAATTATGGGATTGTTTACCAAATATGCCTAGTAAGAAAAAATACACTATAACTATAATGAGGTTACAGTATGACATGTCAGACCGATAATATTTTCGTTTTACCGCGATTCGAACCGAGGATCTCGCATGCCTGTCGCAATGCTAGACAAAACGGTACCATAAACACGTTATGCTACTGAGATATGCAAGTGGTTAACAATAATTACTGGAGGTCTTATATATTATCAATGTCCAGGTTACCATCTGAACCCGGTGGCGCTGTGAGTGTGTTGCCCCACGAGCTGGAAGCGGTTCTATGTCGGAGCGAAACCCACGAATGGCCGCCGGACGCCTGTGAATCTATCGCCAATCACATATCACAGGTATTAAACAAACTACAAGAGCCATTTCATATAAAACCCACCATGATTTGCCGTGATATCTCCAATCTGGCTGAAAATCTGAGAAAAGTTAGCATTTCGCTAGTTAGGACTAATATAACAGTGGTAAAACAATTTTTCAATTTTTCCAAAAAAAAATCAAAATAACGGCTATGTGAAGTTTCAGCTGAAAAACAATTGTTTTTAAAGTTCAAATGGCATTTAAGACAAAAAACTAATTTGTTTGCATACAAAAAAAAATTATGTTTAGTTAAAATGACACTAAAATTTTTAAAGTCATAAATTCAATTAACGACTGTATTGACGTTCAGAGTGATCTTCAGTCTTTTAAAAATTATTGTTACGAAAATCAATTATTTGTTAATGTAGAAAAGTGCAATACAATAACCTTTTGCTGCAAAAATAACCCTATAAAATATGACTACAAATTATTTGATTAGACCTTAAGTGGAGTAACTTCTATTAGAGATCTTGGAGTCACACTTGATTCCAAGCTACAATTAAATGTTCACATTGATAATATAGTGTCTGGAACTTTTAAAATATTGGGTTTCATGTTAAAAATTTCAAAATCGTTAGATTATAAATCAGGTTCGAGTTTCGTGAATTATGAATTGAGTTCCAACAGACACAACATCAAGTCACTAAGGTCACGCCGTGACTATTTAGATGCTATTTGTCTGTACAAACTAATACATAGCAGTATTGACTCTACACCTATTCTCGAGCAAATCGGTTTTAAAGTCCCCCGCTCTTCTTCCCGCATCAAGGAGACGTTACACGTTCCCACAGCGAGCGCAAACTACGTGAAAAATTGTTTCATTATAAGAAGCTGTGATTTTTATAATAAGAATTTGAATTCAGTCGATATTTTCTCTAGTGGTATCTTTAAATACAAAACTTGTATATCAAAATTAATACTTAAGTCGCAGTTACAAAATTATTGTTATTACTTTTTAGATATTTTCTTTTACTGTGTATCTGTTGTATTTACGTCACGTATATATAATTAAGTGAAACTTTAGGTCTATTTGTTTAACATTTTAAGTAATCCATTGTTTACTAAGTGACTTTTTGTTTCTTTTCCAAATAAAATATAAAAAAAAACTTTTCCCTGTTGTTTTTTAATAGCTGTTATGTCATAATTTTGACAGAGGCAGTAGCGTTGCAGACTTAGTTAAATAAACATATTAAATCACTGCTTCTTAGCAGCGCCACGGAATTGTGCCATGACGTTTCAAGCCCCGCTCGTGTCGTATTTTTTATTTGTTATATCAATGTCCAGGTGATGTCGCTCTCCGTCGCTGAGCCGTTCGTGGCCCCGGTGGACCTGCAGCTGTACCCCTCCTACGCACTGGTGGTGCCGTATCCCATCGACTTGGCAACCATCCGAGCCAGGTTCGAGAACCAAGTTAGTGATCTTTATCAGTCAATTAGTGTCCCAGCTTCTATCATTTTAGTTTGCCAGTAGGATACAACGGTTTCAAACGCGACATTTCCCATCACGAGTGCTCGTAGTTTTAAATAGGTCATGTGATGAATCTCGCGTTTTAATCCGTTTAGTACTGTCCAGTAGTATATTATGACAGTTTACACTGCTGAGGTTTAATTAAGAAACGTAAAAACACTTCTGGATGCAAGCTAATATATTTATTCGATTAGTGAAAGGGACTTAAAATTGCGTCCGCCTAATGCACCGTGGCTAATCTGTTTCTTATCTAATCTATTATGAAACCGTGATTATATCAACAACACACGATTTAATGCTAAAATTAAACAAAATCCTAAAAATGCACTGACGTAAATGCACACATTAAAAGTTCTTTACTTTGATATTTACATAAAGATGGGATGTTAACAAAGTCAACGACAATAGATGGTAAAAGTCGATCACTATCAATCGTTAGAGACTACTTAAATTGTAACGACGTAAAAATTCAAGGCGATTTTGGAAAATTGAGGTCGTTTGGTCCAGATATAATCGATATTTCTTTAGTTCTGTGTCATCTGTGCTGATGAGGTTCACTCTATAAAAAGTCATCACTAGTTCTCTATGGTTTGTAATCGGCCATATTTGTTGTGGTCTTTTGCCAAGTAAGAAAAAATGTACTATACAAAGCAAACATATTTTAATTTCTCTTATTTCATCATGTAACAATGCACATGCGATTCGATCATTGGTAAGTCTTAAATCGATTGTTATTTTTATTAAAACTTGTCATATTCGCAAGAGACCGCTTTTCTTGAACTGTCAATTGTCATTATCCGTTTAGTTTCGGGGTTAGTCACTAGATGGTGTTGGTAATCGTAGTTTTATTTTGATGCGAATTTCTGTTGCAGTTCTACCGTCGAGCGGCGGCCGCGCAGTTCGACGCGCGCTACTTGGCCAGCAATGCGGAGCAGTTCAACAAATCGCACACGCCGATCGTCAGACAGGCGAGGCTTGTTACTGACCTGCTTCTGTCCATAATTAGGTAAAAATCGAATTTAGAGCTTTACGATGTGTGGACTACCTTTTCCTCTATACTTTGCCTATATCCGATGTACAATAAATATTAAATTTACCTTTGAAGAGTTCGTTGGTGTAATGGTAGCAGAGTATTGCTAATACGTCGTGTGTTCGATCGCGACCGGGTCCAACATTTTTCTAATTAATTTATAATTTTTCTAAACCATGTTGGATTTAGTCTGGAAATCTGGGAATTAAATGGGTGGTAGGAATATCGAAATTCCGCCCCGGCCACGTACCACCGTCCACAGATGCCGTGAAGCGTAATCGCGTTTCGGGGTCAGTGTTTGGATTTCATAATATCCAAAGCCAAATAGGTCGGTAGCGCGTCTCAAAAATATATATAGCATTCTGCGTCCTTATCCATTGTTTATACGTTGAAAGAGACAACGCTATTTAAACTAGTTTCTGCATTATAAAACTAAAGTATAATTTTTTCTCCAATCCAATAGTAACTGGCAAGTGATAGATGTCGTGACAAAGTACCACGAGCTGTCTGCGTCGTATCACTCGTCCGATGAAGAACCGCTGCAAGTACAGGTAAATAATCAACTAGAATTTAATAAAAACACAGTTTAACGGTTTAAAACGCGATTTAAGTTATTTGACTTTAACTACGACCCGAAGTTTCGGATTCTTTGCAGAAGACGTGGTCATGGGGGGATTAACTCTGCAATACCAATTACGAGGCAGCAGATGGCGCTAGTGTAGCACGTTTAACTTTCACCTTCGTTTTTCAATCTCCCCTTGTCCACGGCTGCTGTAAAGCATATGAAACGTCGGTAAATATCGAACGTTCTAGTTGAAGAGAATCAAAATATGTAAATTGAACAAATATATAACGGTTTAAACCGTTCATTAGAACTTTCATTAACTCTAGATGAAATCGATGTTGTCCCTAAAAAAACTTGGTTGATGATATGCCCACACATATTAGGCCGGAGTCCCAGCGTTGGGAATGAAGGTATATTGATCATAAATTGTGTCAACAGAAGAACAGGCGAGAACGGTCTATGAAGGCAGATGGGGCTTGGCGGGAGCAATGCGTCGCTTTGATCAGGGAGTTGTCTGCGTCCGCTGACGCCGAACCGTTTCGGCAACCCGTCTCGCCAAGTATGGCGCCTGGTGAGTGGTCTTCTCAATATTATGATACGCTTGACTAAGCTTCCTATAGCTCCACACCATGAGTGTTACACATGGTAGAATACTAAGAAATAAACTTCTCTTCGTACTAAATCAAATGTTTAGGAAAAGCCGTTATTTTAAAATAAAAAGTTGTCAACGAGCGTCTGTCATCTGCTAGTGACAGTTTGTCAACCGTCAATGTCAGTAAATCGTCCATACTCATGTCATCCGGTGGATTTGGTGAATGCAATAGATGCCAGCACGACCTACGATCGCCTGTCAAAATACAGTAGGCCTGTCACCAGTAGGATTTAATGTGTCTAAAAATCTATCTTTCAATTTCCTGTATCGTATTGCCATATTAGAGACGGGCCATCGGGCTTAGATGATATATCACCTATATATATATATATAGCTGACATATTCCTCTATCACAAAAAAAAGCAATAGAAGCTTCACGGAGTACTCTCTTAATCTAATCTTTTCTTTACAAGACTACTTGTCGGTGATATCTCGGCCTATGGACTTGGGGACGGTGCAACAGAAACTAGAGAACGAAGAATACAACAACGCATCCGAGGTGGCCGCCGATGTGCGGCTGGTCTTTTCTAATAGTCGACTGTATAATACAAACAAGCGAAGTCGGGTAAGGAATATATTGCATCATATTAATATCCTCCTCTGTAAGACAGGTATTTCCTCTCATTGGTAGGGCGTAGCCTAGTTCAAGCTGCTCCAGTGTGGGTTGGTGGGCTTTAACCGATGGTAACTAGGACCAACGGTTCACTGTGAGACATGGGAGGTATACACCTTTTATTCACCAACAGGTTTCCAAGATGTACAGAAAATTGTAATTTTGCGTATTATGTATTTAATTGTAACCCAATAAATACAACATACATAAATACTTACCTAACCTGGGGACGTGTGAATATTTTCAGTCAAATTTGTTTACCCCATGCCCCATGGCGTAAACACATTTGTATGTTCGTTCCACTGATCCGTGCTTATACAATAGGTTGAGCTGACCACTATGCCCCGCCTGACCGAAACAATCTATTATTTACCTGGGATTCGAACCTAGGACCTCTCGAATTTAGCGCAATGCTAGGAAACACGTTTAACCATTTGGCTATAAAGGTGATTGAATTATTTATATGACTATCGTTTTCAGATCTATTCAATGACGGTCCGTCTTTCCTCCCTCTTCGAAGCCCTATGGGCTCGGATGCCCATAGAGAGCAGAAGCACCAGACGGTCCACGAGACACAATCGGCACGTAAGGAACTCGAGACGGACTAGAAAGACCGCAGGTGAGAATTGCTGATCGCTATTTTTGACAGAGGAAAGACCGTCTTTTGTCTCTCCTCTGTCATAAATATATCAACTTCATATGGAGTGAAATGTACGAATAATATTAAATTAAAATGCGTTGCTTTTGAGATTGGAAAACCCCAGACAGAAAGGCGGTGAACTTTTCAATGTCTTTCATTTACAGACGTGGTTAAATAAAGTATTTTGAACAGTTGAAATGCGCATACATAGTTAATATAAGCACATCCAAGCGCATTGGGTTCTTTTACACGGTTTTAATACTGTCTGTAGTTTACATTTAATTAATATACACTTTAACGGTAAAAATCGGATATAAATTAATACAGCATAGTCCCCGCGGGGGGGGGGGGCCGGGGGTTCCCCCCCCCCCCCCCGGCCCCCGAAAAACCCCCCAAAGCGCGGGGCGGGATTAAAAAAATTTTTAAAATAAGTTTAACTAATATATATCGCGTTCTAAACCGTTATTGTTTTATTTTAATAGATTTAAGCACTTTCAAAGTAGCTTTAATTTCTACTTGTAGAGCAAACAAACGGTACAGTCGCGACGAAACTGCCATCGGAATCCAGCTCGGAGTGCGAGACGTTAGCGATGACGTCACGACGGGTCACTCTGGCGGAACGGGAACGGAATGGGAACGACTCGTGGGACAGTGACGCACCGCTCAATGCACACAGTAAAGGTACCCTATAGTATATACTATATGGTGGTAGGTCCAGAATGTCCATATACTCTACCACTATGGACATAGGTTAGGAGAGGGCAGATAACCAGATAGACATGCGTTGTCGACCCATTTCCCACTGGTTAGACTCGTGCTAACTAAGAGGATTTTTAGGCCTTACACAATGTTGGCTAAGTGCGTCTCCAAAGAGATCAAACTGCCACGTGTCTCAGCCATATGAAAATTTCAACCTTTTTGATCTAAGGAACGTGCAATATTTTGCAAAAGCTGCCTATGTTGGAACAAAACTCCAATCATTCTTTTGTGTTGGTGTATGTCATAAAATTCACTTTAAACAAATGTCTTTCCTTGAATGAAAAGATGTAAATTTTATTCTATTAACTCTATAATTAAATATTATTAAACTTCAGGCAAAGGTGTTGGTAAGAAGACTAAAAACGGTGCCATTGCTGGGACTTCGAGTCGCGTCCCGCCAAGTGAGCACGTCTTTTATGTTTTAAATAAAACACTTTAACGGTTTAAAACGTGATATATAGGAGTTAAACTTATTTGATTATTTAAACTACGGCTCGATGTTTAGGATGCTTTGCAACAGCCGTAGTCACGGGGTGACTAAAGATGGAGGGTGTCTCTGACGTGAAAGTAAAAAACTACTACGCTAGCGCCATCTGTTTCATCAAAGTTGATATTTGGTGATAACTAGCCAGCTCCTTGTAGTATAATTTCTCCAAATATTACATACTAGCTGTAACAGCGACTTCGTCCGCGTACTATAGTTATTTTTGGCATCCAATTTTGTTTTTAAATATGTACACCGGAAATCCACGGAGGTGAATAATTTTCCCCTTTTTTTTACATTTCTCGCTGTTCCTTCGCTCCTATTAGTCACAGCACAATATTTTATAGCTTATAGCCGTCCTCGATAAATGTTCTAACCAACACAAACATTTTTCAATTCGAACAAGTAGTTCCTGAGATTAGCGCGTTCAAACAAACAAACTCTTAGCCTTATATTAGTATAGATATAGCATTTTAAGCCGTTAAATTGTTTTTTTTTTAATGTGTACTACTCGCGTAAACTACAGACAGTGTTGATATTTGCACCATTCACAGAAGGCTGTAAATTTTGGATGAAATCAATGACTCTAAGTCATTCACAATGAAATTAGATCATTTATAGCGCGACTGTCCTACACTAAAACGTTACATTCCTTATTGTAATAAAAATTGATACCTATTAGTTATTAGGAACTCTTCACGTATTAAATAGAGCTAATAAACACCTAAGCATACACAATATGAATAAAAAAAAAAACAAACTTAGGTATTGTAATTTGTTATCTTACCAATCTTACCCCTGCCTCCCCTATTTGGTACTCCCGCTTTTATGAAACGTTAACCGCCTTTGGGTTCGAAACTGGAAGAACGAACAATCGTATCGGTCGGGCAGGACTCATAAATCTACTTTAGCTGTATAAAATCGACCAGTGCAACGGACATACATGTGTGTCTGTCGCATACCCCGGAAGGGTAAGCGCGATCTGGCTTTTCAATTACATTATACATTACAGCATATGTAGAAACGAACGGTGTAACTCAATCGGACACAGAGGAGGAAATAGAAGTGAGAATGAGAGACAGCATACAGGATGGATCCAGTTCTGAGAGCAGCGCTTATTCTAGAATACAGGTATGTGAGACTACTAAACGAGCGTTTGCCAAGTTTCCTTGCCTATGCATGCTTGATATAGCCAAGCAGGGGTTGGTCGAATCTCGTAAACTTTGGAGTAGACGAAAAAAAAAACGTTGGATTTTAAATTGAGTCTATTTGAGTGTTTAAATAAAATACTTTAACGTTTAAAACGCGATATATTAGTTAAACTTATTTGAAAATGATTTTAACTTCGGCCCGACGTTTCGGATCTTTGCAGCAGCCGTGGTCACGGGGAGATTTGAAAATCATTTCCAAATAAGTTTAACTAATATATCGCGTTTTACGTTAAAGTGTTTTATTTAGATATTATATAAATATTTTTTAGTTCAATTGTTTGTTTCAATTAAAAAATCGAGAATAAATTGAAAGAAATCTCGTCTCGGGCAGGACTTGAACCGGCATCGTCAGCGTTCCGTGCTATTGAGCTACCCGGTCCAAGACCTCATCGTCGAATTTTTTCAACTTATTAAAATTTAAATAAAACACTTTAACGGTTTAAATTGCGATATATTAGTTAAACTTATTTGAAAATGATTTTTAACTTCGGCCCGACGTTTCGGATGCTTTGCAGCAGCCGTGGTCACGGGAAGATATATATCGCTAATATATCGCGTTTTAAACCGTTAAAGTGTTTTTCTTTAATGTGTACTACTCGCGTAAACTATAGACAGTATTTTATGAAAATTTATTAAGTAATTTTTTTTTTCTAATTATTTTCGATTTTTAAGTTATATATGCCTTCGTATGTACATTTAAAAAATAATTGTTTATTTTCACTTATATAAAACACTGTTAACGGTTCGACACGCGTAACTATTATATTATGTGTGCTACTATCTAATTAATGTAACTGGCTACTAAATAAATTATAGTACTGTCTATATTTAAATAAAACACTTTAACGGTTTAAAACGCGATATATTAGTTAAACTAAACGTCGGGCCGAAGTTAAAAATCATTTTCAAATAAGTTTAACTAATATATCGCGTTTTGAACCGTTAAAGTGTTTTATATAAATTATATTATAGTATTAAAATTTTTTTCAACAAAGCATAGAAGGTCCCTAATAGATATATGAATATATGGGATTTCATTGATTTGTTATTTGACTTCAGGTTGTCGAAGAGGAGTTAGTAGAAGATGAAGTAGAAGTCACGTATGAGGAGGAAACCACCACGGCGCGGAGCGAACGGCACAGGCATCGAGCCAGGAAGCAGTTACGAGTGAGTAGGACGTAATATCTAGAGATTATATTATTTGGTTTGGGCTGAACGGCGGCGTCGGTCGGCTTATGTATAATCTGGACAACACCTACATTCTACGAGCAATCGAGGAGTCAACATCTCCTGATGACGCCGTCCGCGCGTGATGGCGAAGCGTCGAGAACCTCTCCTCGCTCGCGTAGGCCGGACAGCCCGAAAGACAATGATACGATGGCCGTGAAAGCCTTACACAATTCTAATGATAATTATTTCATTAAGTGAGTTTTAAAATCAGTTTGTATCTCTCCTATACAAAAATAGTATCCCTACTCGAATGTCGTCGTTATAATTATCATTGGGTCGTGAAGTGAATAATTAATAATTTTGTTCCCATTTGTTTATACTGTATCTATTAAACTAGAGTGAAATGGGATGCCGTCTATAGTTTACGCGAGTAGTTTAAATTAAATAAACATTAGTTAATATAACGCGTTTTAAACCGTTAAAGTGTGTTGTTTAGAGTGAAATGGTTCTTTTCAGAGTAATTCGAGAAAAAGACGACGCGCGAGAAGTTCTGGTGGTAGTAGTTGCAGCGCAGGAAGAAGAACCAGATCGCCAAAACGGTAAGTGGCTACTCTTTTGTTTTAAATATCATTCTACTCATGTGGAATATAATCTTAATAAATCTATACCAATATTATAAAGCTGAAAATTGTGTTTGTTTGAACGCGCTTATCTCGGGAACTACTGGTTCGATGTGAAAAATCTTTAAGTGTTGTTAGATCGTTTATCGGGGAAGGCTTTAGGCTATATAAAATAATGCTGCGACCAATAGAAGCGAAGAAACAGTGGGAAATACTGTCTATAGTTTACGCGAGTAGTACACATTTAAATAAAACACTTTAACGGTTTAAAACGCGATGTATTAGTTAAACTTATTTGAAAATGATTTTTAACTTCGGCCCGACGTTTCGGATGCTTTGCAGCAGCCGTGGTCTTTACTAAGGACTAACTAATATATCGCGTTTTAAACCGTTAAAGTGTTTTATTTAAATTTGTACTACTCGCGTAAACTATAGACGGGACGCGGACGACGTCACGGGTAATAGCTATAATTTGTAAAGTTGAAGTTTGCAAAAACGAATTTTGACACCCAAAATACCCAATCTACGCGAACGAAACCGCTGACACAGCTAGTCTAATAAAATGTCTACTCTTCTAGAACGCGAGAGAGGTTCACGGACGGTTCATCATCAAGCAGTTCGTCCGGTTCCAACTCGGGCTGGTGTTCGGGGAACGGAGCGGGTCGTTACGAATCGGATCGCTCCTACCGACCTGGACAGTACAGCTCCGACGACGAAACGCCATTGTTACTGTACCGGTGAGTTTGAGTGGAGTGTACGTACAGTATACAGTCCCCGATCCAGAGGTCCCGATTACATAATAGCTTTTAATTGAGGATTTCCACCACCTCAGCCTTGTAAATTAGAACTGTTTAGTCTAATGGTAGCAATGTATGGCTAATCAACGGGTCTTTGGAAACCTGGATATTAAATGAATGGTAGGAATATAGAAATTGTCTCCGGATCTCGAACCACCATCCACAGATAGAAAGCCGTGAAGCTTAATCGCGTTCCCGCTTTGGAATGGCGTGTAAAGGAGGCTCTACCTTTAAAAAAGGGGTAAATTTACTAGAAATTTACAATTTTTAATATTTTTTACTTGATTGTGGCGCTGTCCACACTTTAAGGACTTACTGAAAATCAGTTTTAGGTCAACAAAGGGCCTGATATAAGCTGAGTAACATCCTATTTTACCAACTAGCAGCACATTATTTTACACTTTTAAATAAAATACTTCAACGGTTTAAAACGCCATCTATAATACTTAAACTTATTTGAAAATTATTTTAACTACTTGCTACACGTAGACCACGGCTGCCGCAAAGCACCCGAAACGTCGGGCCGTTGTTAATTTTCACAAAAATATATCGCGTTTTAAACCGTTAAAGTGTTTTATTGAAATTTGTACTACTCACGTCAACTACAGATAGTATTTAGATTAGAGGTTCCAACTTGTTTGAGACATTCTTTTAATTTCATAAACTTGCTGAAGAGCTGATAAAACCAACTTCACTTATAGATATTAATAATAATTTCAGACAACGCCAAGACGGTGATTTGGAGGCGGGACCGTCGAGAAGACCACAGCACAGGGTATGTTATTTTACTATTTTTCGCGTTGCGTAAAACGTTGTCCGAAAGTTAGTCCTCTTGTTTGTTTGGAAATCTGGATATTAAATGTGTGGTGGGAATATCGAAATTCTACATCACGCAAAAACACGCACGAACCACCCACGTCCACAGACGAAAAAGCCGCGAAGTTTAATCATGTTTTCAGTCTGGATTTTCGAATATCTAAACTCGAAATAGGTGGGGATGTGTGAAAAATCGGAGAAAATTTTTCATCTTTGCGGGTGGGTGGCTGTAGCGTGCGATACGGAAGCGGTTTAACGTGTCCAAAAAAACATGTATGAAAATATCACACTGCATGTCATTTACGATTAATTTGCAAGAACGACGGTACACGACCGATGAAGAGGAGGTTTGCAAAAATGAATTTTGATGCCCGAAATGACTATCCTACGTCGACGAAGTCGCTGGCGTAGCTAGTTAAATTATTTGTTAATTGCTCACGACTAAATTGCTGGCAATTACAGCTCGTTAAGGAGTCCCCCCGTGACCACGGCTGCTGCAAAGCGTCCGAAACGTGGGGCCGAAGTTAAAAATAATTTTCAAATAAGTTTACCGTATTATATCGCGTTATAGTGTTCAAAATTTTAATGTGTTATTTTTGCCAAAACATAGTTACTTATTTAACACTTATGGTTTCTTTACACCAGAGCGGTGGTGTTTCATTGCGGAAACGGCGAAGCCCACGACGTTACAACGAGGACAGCGAAGAGGACTCGATAGCGGCGATCAGCAAGCGTCTGCCCCACCACCAACAGCATTTGCAGCATCAGCATTTGTTGGCGAGGAGGAGACGCAATCATGCGCAGGTTTGTGTCTCGAGTATAATGGCCTTTGCTCGTGTTTTCGCTTAGAAAGTCTTATTTTGGTATATTTTTTTTAACCTAAGTATTTATCTATACTAAAATATAAAGCTGAAAGATGTTTGTTTGTTTGTTGTTTGAACGCGCTAATCTCAGGAACTACTAGTTCGAATTGAAAAATTATTTCTTTTTTTTGTTGGTTACGTTAGGAAAAGCCGTCAATGTCAAATCTGCTACTCTAGCGCCATCTGTTTTTTTCTGTTTAAAGATTTTTTTTAAACTCTTTAACGGTTTAAAACGAGATATATATTAGTTGAAAATCATTAGGATAAAGGCTCCCCGTCTCCACAGGTGCACCAAATTCTCCATCATCCAAATAAGTTTAACTAATATCCATGGTGTTTTAAAAACGTTAGAGTGTTTGTTTAAATGTGTAAAACTCGCGTAAACTGCGGATAGTGCTGAAATTTTAATTTTCTTCTTCAGGGCACGGGCGTACCAAGTGCCAGTGCAGCACCGCACAACGAAGACCACAACTACTTCAACGGCCACCACAACCAAATGCATAACGGTAACTATATTATATAGGCTGTTAAGGTATCTGTGATGGGTAAGCTCCTTTCATTACCTATACAATAATATGTTGCACGAGCGGGGTTGGAACCCATGACCGATACAGTCAATTCAAAGTTGCTGGCGGTATTTTAGATTAGAAATATCTTTTAAGCGGGCGGTACTCGAACTTGCGACCGGCGTACCATGCCCCACTATATATAACAACGTCAGGATTTAAAAATTACGTTGGTCCAATTGTAGCGAGGTATGGTTAATAATTTAGTGGTTGCGGATTCGATTCCCGCTGAGTGCAATCTTATTTTAAGTTATCAGGTTTTTTTTTAATGATAGAAGAGGACAGACAAGCACGGGGTTCATTAAGTAGTAGTGGAAATATAAGTAAACATATAGCATCTAAAAAGGGACCGTTCAGGTGTTGTGCTATAGGGGGCCGGGGGGGGTCTTTGTTTTGCTTATTTTTGACGACATGGGGGGTAGGGGAGTCCAGATGATGATTACGTCATCGATATTTATTTACTTTCTGAATCAACTTTCTTATTTTTAAAATTATAATATAAAAAATACATTTTTAATTGAAAAATGTTTACGTAAGCACGGGGGAGGGGGTAAAAGCTTTGCTTACTTTTGCCGACAGGGGGGGATGGGGGGGGTGAATAATTGTAATAAATCTGCTTACGTAATACTTGAACGGCCCCAAAGATGCGCCGTCGACCTATTTTGTCTTTGGATATTCGGAAATATACAGACTGAAACCGAAACGTGATTTCAACTTCACGGCTGTTTCGTCTGAGTGCGTTAGTTCGTGATCCGGACGGAATTTCTGTATTCTCACCGCCCAATATCATTTACCAGATTTCCAGACGAGGGCCAACAAGTTTCATTAAAGCCTGCCAATATATTTTTTTAGTCTTTTCCTATTAAAACTCAACATTTCTCTCTTTGTAGAAACATCTCCGTCTCCAGCAAATTCTGGAGGTTCTTCGGGGCCCGGAACTGTCTCCATATCATCGAGGGGTCGAGTGCGGCGTCTGACAGCAAAGGCGAGAGGTCTCCTGCGCAAATAATACAGGATTTCCGCGATCTAGGCCCCTCTTCGTGTCTTATCGAGGACGGGTTAAGCGGGCCTTTTTGACCCCGAATGACGGGTTTGGATCTTATTAGTGTAATGTCGACAGTGCGAAGTGTTGTGTAATGGTAGCAATGTACGGCAAAATGTTTCCGTTCAATATATAATTTAAAACATATTGTACTTCGTCTGGAAATCTCAATATTGGGGGGGGGGGGGGTATCGAAATTCCGTAGTAGTCACCAACCACTGTCCACAAATGAGAAAGCCGTGTAGCTTAATCGCGTTACGGGCAAATATCAAACCAAAAATAGGTCCGCGCCTTATTAGATTTATGGGTATTTTATTAATAAGTATACCACTAAAATGCTTCTCTATCGAAATCGATGTTTTGTAGTACATAATATGTATGTGATGATGATGATAAGGTTCTGTTCACCGTTTGTCGATTGTGATATAATTCTCTATTGATGTTGCTCAAGTCCACTGCCTCGCTAACACTTAAGGTTGGAGTGTGTGGTTCGTTGTGAGGTTTTTCATATTGATATTAAACGAGTAGGGTAATGATAACGGTCAAGTGTGAGTTGGGCTCGCAAATTGGGTTTGTTGGAGCCATTAAATGTGTATATTTATTTTGTTTGGTAACTGGTACTTGTTCTTTTACGGACATAGATTCTACTTTGTCTGTAAATTCGTATCTGTCTATGGGTCTGTGGTTATGTGTTGAATAGCATTGTGTTGAGCCAGAGATTTTGGACGTTTTTGTCATTTGTTAATTTAAACTGTGTTTTACTTTAGCAGATAAAATTCACTAAAAATGTACTATTGGGGTAATTTTATTGTTGAAAAGCAACATTTATTGTGATTTATTTTAACTAAGACCTGTTTCACCAAGAATTTATGACATTGGTTAAACGTAACCGGGGGTTAAAATTCACTACTTCTACAAATGAAACGAAATTATAAATAGACAGCAGTCTCCCCGTGTACCACGACACGGCTGCAAAGCACCATAGTTAAGATAATTTTCAAATAAGTTTAACTAATATATATCGCATTTTAAACCGTTGAAGTGTTTTGTTTAAATATAGACAGCAGTTTAACTTGCTCAATCAATGCGTTTTTAAAATAAAACACTTTCACGGTTTAAAACACGATATATTAGTTTAACTTATTTGAAAATGATTTTTAACTTCGGCCCGACGTTTCGGATGCTTTGCAGCAGCCGTGGTCACGGGGAGACACGGGGAAACGTCGGGCCGAAGTTAAAAATCATTTTCAAATAAGTTTAACTAATATATCGCGTTTTAAACCGTTAAAGTGTTTTATTTAAATGTGTACTACTCGCGTAAACTATAGACAGCAATCAATGCGTTGTTTTCTTGATATCTTGGTGAAACGGGGCCTAATACGAAAATGTATATTGATTGATCTCGTTCTACATTTAGCGCCAAATATGAACTCGAAGATTACCAGGACTAAGTTTTGTTCTGTATAAGACGTTTTTGTTACTTATAGCGGTGATAAATCTTACGTTGTATAAATTCTGTCAAATATTAGGATGTAGGAAAATTGAGGCTGCTAGAGGCAGAGTGGCCTAACATCGAAAACATGATTTTCAATAAGGAGAATAAAAATGCGCAATTAACTTAGGCGAAAAAAAAATGTTGATGAAATGAGTTATGGTAACAATTATCGATCACCGTGCTCTTGTAGATAAACATTTTTAGACTATGAAAATATATATAATTCAAGTCCAAAAGATTGCAGATAGGCTACTCTGCCTCAAGCGGCCTCAGTTATGTTCTTGTCAAATATGTTAAGTTTTTTTTAGGTTCTAATTCCATATCAGTAATCAGACTTGTCTATTTTATTTTCCAGTCAAAAGTCCAATTTCACTGAAAAATTGTTACACTGATTAAGTCGACCGTCTGTTAAAATCATGATGGCATAATCTGTAGCCACTTTACTTCTGAAATTGGGTCTGTCATTACAGGGTGTTGCCAGTCAAATTATTGCAAATAATCTTGTTTACCTAATTTCTTGATCAGGCAAACATTAGAAAAAAATGAAGTTCGTACTTATGCACAACTATTTTAAGATAAAGTGATATTTAAAAAAAATCATCTGTTTAAACATTATTAGAATTGTGGTGAAAACATTATTTTGTTTTTAATGCATTTAAAAAAAAAGTTTTTTTTTAAATTGGTGAATTTCATCTTCATAATATAATTGTGACTATGATCAAAGGGTGAAGTTTTTTTTTCTCCTATCACTATTTCTATTAGTAAATACTTATTTTTCGACTAGTGTAATTTGTGTATAAATGTACATGTATTTAGTGTTAAGTGTTATTCATATATTGTGAATGTATATACATGAATGCCATTGGCAAACCGAACCAAACATGAACGAATAAATAATTTTGTAATGATTGCTGACTTTATTTGAAAACTAGTTGTGGCCACAATTTCGTTCCCGTGCAATAATTCTTTTGGGCACCAGAATTTGTTTTTGCTAAACGTCTCATCTTTATAAATTTTTACGTTACCCACGACGTTCTCGTCACGTCGTTTTTTGCAAAATTATCTTAAAAGCTGCGCTGACGCGGACATTTCGATGATGTAAAGAGGAATTATTGTTCACACATATTTTTTGGTGTCTTGAACTAATTTTGCAACGTACGCATCGGAAACCTACAAAGATGATTTTCCCCGTTTTTCCGCATTTTCCGCTGTTGAGCGAAAAAAAGATTTTTCAATTAGAACCAGTAGCTCAGTAACTACTACTATTAGCGCGTTCAAACAAACAACCTCTCCAGCTTTTTAATATACGAGTTTCACCCACCGTTGCCATGTACAACAGTTTGTAAGTTGCCACCCTTTCAGGTTCTTGTAAATAATGTTGATTCGAGAGTTAGAGGAAATGTTTGCTGTAGAGATGCAACGGATATCCGGTTACTATTCGGTATCCGGCCGAATACCGGATAGTTGCGGCGCACTATTCGGCCGGATACCGAATAGTGATTCTGTTTGCTATTTAACTTTGAAAGATGTTAGTATGCATACTACAAAAATTGATAATTTGTTGATAATTGATAAATTACCAATATTTGTTTATTAGTTTAAAAATCGAAAATAAATTGAAAAATTTTTCGACTCGGGCAAGACTTGAACCGGCATCGTCATCGTCCCGAGCTGTTGCTCTACCAATTGAGTTACCTAGTCCTACACCTCATCGTCGAATTTTAGTGGGTAGTGGTCAAGTTGGCCGACCCCCACACTCCCCCCGCCACTTAAGTGGCCAGGCGTCGGTAAAGAGTCGATTCCTCCAAGTAAAAAAAAAAAAAAAAAAAACACATCGTCGAATTTATTCAACTTATTGATACATGCACCTCTCGTGTGTAATGTAATTTCAACCTTAACACTTGGGTATTAAGGTTCAACGTCTTATGATTTGCAGCTTAAGAAATCGTCGAACAGCACGGAACGCTGATGGTTCAATTCCTGCCCGAGTCAATTTTTTTTTAAATTTCTTTTCGATTTTTAAATTATATAGTGCCTTCATGTGCAATAACATGTAAAAAATAATAAAGTTTTCATTCGTTTATTAGTTTTAACGTACAATTTAAACTTATCAATTTCCATTCAACCAATTGTAGCGTATCGTATGTTAATTTTTAATCAAATAAAAAGTTACCATATAAATAAAAAGAGAGAACAATACGTAACAGGTTGAAACTTGCACGACGCGCGCGCCGCCATACTAAAATATACATAGGTATCGTTTGGCTGGCCGAATATTCGGCGGCCGGATACCGGATATTCGGCCAGTCGTGAGGCCGGTATCCGGCCAAACAACTATCCGTTGCATCACTAGTTTGCTGACTATAAATTATTAGATATACAAATATAAATTATTATATGTACGTGTTTTAAACCGTTACATTGTAATATATTTCTTGACGAACGACCATAGTAGAACTTATCAAGCAAATGAACCGACGAAGCTGTTGATGGGATTGCAGAAGATGTTGAGGGTAATGCACGGCACTTACCAACGGGCAGTGGATTCGATTTCCACCAACATGTTCTAATCAATTTATAATATTTCTGAACATGTCGGATTTCGTTTGGAAATCTTGATATAAAATGGGTGGTTTATCGAATCTCGTAGTTCCGTCTGCGTCACGAATCACCGCCCACTGATGAAAAAGCAGTCAAGTTTAATCGCATTTCGATTTCCTTCTGTATATTCTCGTGCTTATGTTTTGAATTTCCATAGTCAATAAAGGGCGACAGATCTTCTTTAGATGTTATATAAAAATATACTTTATTCTCTGTAAAAATTATTTTCGTGAAAAAATATTAAATACTGTTTCTTTGTCCGTTCGTCGTGATTCCACAGAATGTTCAAAAGAGCAACATAACCGAGAAGAACACCCAAGAAATTCAGTCTGGCTTTTATCGACATGTCTTACGAACTAATACATTTTTATGAATTTAATGACCTAAGGAGCAATTTACATCACTGCCAGGCAGCCCTGTCATCAAAGAAGTTTTTTAAACAATAATGGGCATTTTAAAGCAATCAAAAGCTTACGGCTTTTTGAACTTATTTATTAATAAATGTGAAACCTCAACTGGCAATATACAAACGAATACAATTCTCTGCAAATTAGTTATCATATGGAGCCTATATTTGGGGATAGCTAGCTTATATGCCATCACTTAATTTCTCCATTAAATCTCAAACCACTATATTAGTATTTGTATTAAATATTGTCCAACACGGCTTGTCAAGTCTTTATTTATTGCCATTAAACAAAAAAAACAGTCTAAAAGTTGACATTGACAATTGACAATACGAAATTGAAAGGTTGGATGTTTTCGACGACTTGCAATAATTTTGTTTGTGTTTTTCCTCATATATGAGATTTCAAAAATCCCAACTTGAAACTAGTTACTTAAAGTCCACGAATCCAATTTTAAAGTTTAGACTGTTTTGGGAGGAATCGTGAGTTGTAAGTATTCGTAGTTTGTTAATTATTTGTTAACTTATTTACTTAACATCCATGTTTAACAATAATAAATGTAGTTTTAAAAGCATATAAATGTAAATACGATCTCATGTCCTTTGAGAAACTTTTGAAAGAATATAATATAGTCCAGCAGAGTCTCTCATTACAATTTTTAAAATGTTCTGTAAAACATTTGCCTATTGAGCAATACACAAATTTATCACTTTTTAGTGTGGGCGTAGATAACTTGGTGGTAAGTTATGGATCCCCTTGTGGAAGAAGAATATATAATGGAGCCAGATCCAGAACCATCAGGTATTGTTATTTATATTTTAAAATACTATTGAATTTAGTTGTTCTTAACTAACCTTACAAGTTCATACGTAGATTTAAAAGGTGTTATGAATCGAGTTAGAATATAATTTACATAACTTTCAAACTCATCCAAAAACAAACAATGGATATCAAATCTTGTTAAAATATAAATTTATTAAATGTATACTAAATAATACTTTACAAATGACTCTTGTCAGACTTCTTTTAGCTCCTGAAGGTATCAAAGAATCCATTCCGATTTTAACATAGGAGAAGGCTTTTTAATAATAACTAAAATATCTTTGTCTGGACTTTTATACAAAATTTAAAAAGTACTTATAAATATGTATAAAGACTATTATCAACATTTATAAGTGTACATAGTTTTAGTAACCATATGGATAAATATGTTTATGAGTGCAAAAATAGAGTGACTTTTTTTTAATTTCTGCTAAATGTGTAGAAATCATCATATTGTAGCAACAGCACAGATGCTGTAGTCTTGGGTTCGAGGTCCACTCAAGTCACATTTTTTAAATACCTTTTCAACATATCAAAATAGTCAATGGAGAGAAAGAGTAGAAAAATTTAAAGGCAACATTAATTTTTAATAGAAGCTGTACTATTCATCCGTTTCAGTTTTCGACTCATTATGGAACGCAAGCCCAGTTATAATCGGTTTCAGTTTGCTGTTAGCCTATGTTGCATACAAGTGGATCCAACGGCAAAAGTCAATGTCTGATGCAGATGAGTCTACTAAAAGTAAGTTTTAGAAAGTTAAAGTTTGAACCAAAGGCACTATTTAAATTAAAAATATTTTATAAAAAAAAACACTTAACGGTTTAATACGCCGAAAACATTAATTAACTTATTTTTCATTTATATAGCTATGACAGAATCTGCTTAAATACTGTCTATAGTTTACGCGAGTAGTACACATTTAAATAAAACACTAACGGTTTAAAACGCGATATATTAGAATCTGCTTTCTAAATATTAACTACAACTCAACAGATGGCACCAGCGCAGCCACTTTTAACGTTGACACCCTCCATTTTTAGTCCACCTCTGACCGCGGTTACAAGCAAAGCTTCTGAATCGTCGAACCGTTGTTAAAATAATCTTGGGGAAACAGTTTTTTTTTAAATCATTGCAGCTATCAATTGTGTATTTGTGATATTTTTTTTATATTTAACTAAATAAAGTGCGTAGAAGCACGCCTAATATCGTTATGGCGAAAAGGAATCTTATATTATAAAGCTGAAGAGTTTGTTTGAACGCGATTATCTCAGGAACTACTCGTTTGAGTTAAAATTATTTTTGTGTTGCTTGAACCATCTGTCGAGGAGGGCTTGAGGCTTCATACAAAGAAACAGAGTGGAAACAACGAGGAATATTATTTATCATTGAGGGCTTCCATTGCGTGCGTTGCGAAAACCGGTTCAAGATCCAAGATATGTATAAAATAAAAAAATACTGTCTATAGTTTACTAGTACACATTTAAATAAAACACTTTAACGGTTTAAAACGCGATATATTAGTTAAACTTATTTGAAAATGATCTTTAACGTCGGCCCGACGTTTCGGATGCTTTGCAGCAGGTGACCAAGTTTAACTAATATATCGCGTTTTAAACCGTTAAAGTGTTTTATTTAAATGTGTGCTATGGTAAAATAAAGTGTCATTATTTTTCTTTATATAATCTAAAAATAGTTCCGCTTTTATGGCAATCGAATTTTGTCCATTCAGAAAAGGCAAAAGAACGTTTCGCCCGGTCAGTTAATTGATTCACAAAAGAAAGAAAAGGAAAGAGTTGGTTTATATTGCTATCACAATTTTAGATCCTGAACGATACTTGGCACGAATGGAGGCAATACAAACGGCTCGTGAGAAACAGCAAAGGGAGTGGGAGGAAGCATCGCGCAAGAAACGAGAACAGGATATAGAGGTCAGTATATTTACCCACCACGATTCACGGCCTCATTGGTGTAGTGGTAGCAACAATCAACGGGTCATGGGTTTGATCTCTACTACGTCTAACTTGTTTATTAATTTATATTTTTATGGTTAGGACACTTCACATATGAGCACATAGTGGCGTGATCAAGAGATCACATCATGCTTTAATTGAATTTGAAATAGCTTCTTTTTTTATACTAGCTGGGCCAGCGACTTCGTCTGTGAGGATCGTTATCGGCAGCCGAATTTCTTTTTCGCAAACCCCACCTTTGTAAACTTAAGCTTTTACCCACCATGTCGGTCGCGTCCCGTCGTTCTTGCAAATTAATCTTAAAATATAGACATATAGCGTCGCTGACATTTTTTAAATCATTTAACGAGGAATCATTTATTCATTATTTCATACATATTTTTTTTGGATATCAAGAACCGTATTTGCAGCGTACGCCTCGGAAACCGATAACGATGTTTTTTTTTTCCCCATTTTTTTTCACATTTCCCGCTGTATCTTCGCTTGTATTAGTCACAGGGCGATGTTTTTTAGCCTATAGCCATCCTCGATAAATGCTCTCACTCGAAGAATTCTTCCATTCGAACCCGTAGTTCCTGAGATTAGCGCGTTCAAACAAACAAACCTTTATATATTAGTATAGATGAAGCTATCGTGCGCAATACATGTGACCACCTCTGTAGCCAAATAGTTAGACTTGTTGCCTAGCATTGCGTTAAGTGCGAGTGGTTCTGGGTTGGAATCTCTATCATAACATATTTTTTCGGTCAGGTAGGACTCAGACGTTTGATCAACCACTAGCCTGCAGCCGATCAATGCGCACATAGAAATGTGTTTGCCCCATGTCCCACGAGAAACAAGAAATCACTTCTGACTTATTGTGTGCAAAAAGTTATATGTGTAGATGGATAGTGTGAAATGTTAGTGTAGGTTAAATCTATTGATATAGGATTGTAAAAATTTTACGACACGGGCAGTATACGAACTGGAATCGACAGCGTCCCGTGCTGTTGCTCTACCAATTGAGCTACCGAGTCCTACACCTCATCGTCGATTTTTTTCAACTTATTGATACACGCACCTATCGCGCAATGTAATTTCAACCTTAACACGTGGATATTAAGGTCTATAATTATAATTCTATAGTAGTTTAGTCAATAAAATTTGTCTTTATTAGTTTTGTTAAGACGTTGTTTGTTTATTGCAGAAGGAGAAAAGGAAACGCGCTGAAATCTTGGAGAATCTGGAGAAGTATGGCTCGAAGGGCGGTCAGAAACTTGGTCGACCAGCGGATGGAGGTGAGGAACTAAATTCATCATTCCTTTAAATTAAATGTATTAATAATACTACTAATAAATTAATGTCTGTAGCTTACGCGATTAGTACACATTTAAATAAAACACTTTAACGGTTTAAAACGCGATATATTTAAGTTTAACTTGTTTGAGAATTATTTTTAACTACGGCCCGACGTTTAGGACGCAGTACGTAGTCACAGGAAGACAGTCTCCCGTGACTATGGCTCTCTTTTCAAACAAGTTTAACGGTTTAAAACGCGATATATTTTAGTTAAACTTGTTTGAGAATTATTTTTAACTACGGCCCGACGTTTCGGATGCTTTGCAGCACGTGGTGGAGTTTCCCCGTGAGCACGGCTCTCTTTTCAAACAAGTTCAACTAAAATATATCGCGTTTTAAACCGTTAAAGTGTTTTATTTAAATGAATACTACTAATAGTCAAGTTAAGACACTTCCAATCAACGGGTCGTGTGTTTCTATCCCGACTAAGTCAAACATGTTTATCAATTTATATATTATTTGAAACACGTTGGAGCTCGTCTGCAAATTTAGATTTTAAATGAGTGGTAGCAAAATTCTGTCCAGGTCATAAACCATCGTCCACGGATTCGCTTCTTTGGATTTTCGAATGTCTCAAGCGAAAACATGTTGACAACGCAACTTCTCGTTTCACACAAAAGAAGAACACAGATGTGTGCCTATGTCCCAGAATGGGAAAACGGGGAAAACTTTTTAGAATGTACCACGACATGTACTGGTGGATATTCAATAAAACTTTCCACGTTTATTTTTTTTAGTTTTTTTTTTTTCAGCTTTCCAAGTATCACAATTACATGAGAAAAATACGAAAATCTATATATCGATAATAATGGAGAATTTTATCTAGCTGAATAGTCCTACTAAACTTTATATGATGCTGCTAGAGTCAAAATGGCCTAATAACAAAAAATATGATTTCAAATAAGGGGAAAATAAAAATGCGAAAATAATGAATGTGAATTTAGAAGAAAATGAATTTGTACTATTATTTGTATAAGAATTATGTTAACAATTTTTGGTCACTGCGCTCTTGTAGATTAACATTTTTAGAAAAAAATAATAATAAGTAAAGTCATACAATTTCAGTTACTACTCTGCTCTAGCGACCTCACGTTAAGATAAACAAAATTTTAGACTAACAATAATCTAGGATTTGTTTTGTGTACAGATTATCTTCCACTGTGTGGCGGTGAGTCATCGAACTACAAACCGCCGAAACGTTCAGCATGTGCCAAAGGGGGGTGTGGGAAGTAGGAGATTCAATTAAATTGGACTCGCTGGAAAACTAAAACATTCGCCTTATTATTCAAGTTAACGAAGACTATGAGAGATGCTGTCTGTAGTTCACGCGAGTAGTACACATTTAAATAAAACACTTTAACGGTTTAAAACGCAATATATTTTAGTTAAACTGGTTCGAAAATTATTTTTAACTACGGCTCGACGTTATTACTTAAATAACTGATTTGCAGCAGCCGCGGGGAGGCGTCCGAATCGTCCAAGATTAACTACAAAATACTAATAAAATATATCGCGTTTTAAACCGTTAAAGTGTTTTATTTAACTATGAAATATATAAAGTTGGTTTTCGGAACTTCATAATGGTTATTTAATGGATTTTTTTTTATGTTGGGGAAATTGTATATGCCAGAATGTCCCTTTGTCTTTATTTGTGGAGGCACAGACTTTTTTCGACATTTTTCTTGTAAATACAACTAAAAATAACTCCGCTGTCTTGTGGACTGGGTAAACCATATTATCTCAACTAGTCTAACTGAATAATACATTTTTAAAACAAATGGTATTTGTTTTTATTTACCCATAAAATTTCTACCTTTATCTATAATTATTTATTTATATTTCCACAATATTAAGTTTATATATGTATATGTAAAACTTAATTAAATATTCCTAACTTAAATATATGCGACAACAATAAATTTAAAAATACAATACAATGATCAAATATAAAATTAAGTAGTACACATTTAAATAAAACTAACGGTTTAAAACGCAAATAGATTAACTTAATTAATAATTAATTTAACTACATTCCGACGTTTCGGATGTCTCCCAGCGGCAGCTGCAAGGCATGTTTTATTTAACTAATACATTATTTACAGAGATTTTTATTATAAAAATCTCTATAGGTTGAATAATTATTCGATACAGACGTGGATCCGTTCCAGGTCCAACTGATTCCTAGCAATTTATAATTTTTCTGAAACATGTCCGACTTCGTATGGAAATCTATGGATATAAAATGGATGGTAGGAATGTCGAAATCCTGTCCGGGTCACAGACACTATCCACAGATTAAAACGCCGTGAAGTCTAATCGAGTTCCGATTTTAGTCTGTGGTTTTTATAATATTCAAAACCAAAAAAAAGTCTAGAGCACATCAGAGCAGGGAGATGTTATATCACTTCTGACCTCTGTCATAAAAAAAATATGTATAATTGAGATTTACATATAAGTAGCGAGGTACTAAATACATAGACATCTATACTAATACTAGCTGAGCCGGCAAACGTTGTTTTGCCATATAAATAAATTTACTAAAATGTCTATTAAAAAATAAGGGTTGATCGTAGAAGGGTGAAAATTGAGGATTGCATGTATTTTTGTATGTTGTATCATAAAAAAATATAGAAAATATTTAATTAATAGATATTAAAAATGTTGTCTATAAAATAAATCAAGGGTGAACAACCCATATCACTTATGGGGGACGAAAAATAGATGTTGTCCTATTCTCATAGCTGCTGAATACACATATCAAATTTGGTGAAAATCGGTCGAGCTGTTTCGGAGGAGTTCAAGTTCGAACACCGTGACACGAGAATTTTATACATTAGATATAAGGCTGTAGAGTTTGTTTGTTTGAACACCCTAATCTCAGGAACTACTGGTTCGAATTGAAACATTTTGGGTTGATAAGAGCATTTATCGAGGAAGGCTATAACACATCGCGGTGTGACTAATAGAAGCGAAGATACAGCGGGAAATGTGAACAAAACGGAGAAATTTTTCATCTCTGTGGGTTTCAGATGCGTACGCTTTGAAAACGGTTCGAGATACCTAAAAAATGTGTATAAGAGAATGATTCCTCTTTAAATGATCTAAAAAATGTTTGCGAGACTATATGCCTATCTTGTAAGATTAACTTGCAAGAACGACGGGATGCGATCGATGTGGTGGACAGTTAAATTTATAAAGGTGTAAAGTTTTGCAAAAAAAAATTTGGATACCCAAAATAACTATTCTACGCGGACAAAGTCGTTGACACAGCTAGTTCCACATAAAATAACATATTATTTAAATATCTCGGCAACAACGGCCTATCTTTAGACCGCAAATTAAGCAATTTTTCTATTACTAAACATTATTGTGAATTGAATTGTCGTGCGGTTTCTAAATTAAATTTAAAAACGGTGGTTTTTGCAAAGTCGTGACTTACAAAACAAGCAATACGTAAATAAGTATTGCTTGTTTTAAGTTTACTTTAACTGTAAGGTAACCGATTTCTAGAGAAACAGTGTAATATGTAAATATGATTAGGAAATGCTTAGAATAATTTTAAATTATAGGGACCATAATTGGAAGACATATTTAAGTATGGCCTGTAGTTCACGCGAGTAGTACATATTTTAATTAAAACACTTTTAACGGCCTAAAACACGATATATTTGTCAACTTTTCTATTATTTATTTAAACTACTGTACGATATTTCAGATGTTATGCAGCAGTCGGGCTGTAGTCTCAAAATTAATTGTAAACAAGTAACTAATATATTTCGCATTTTGGAACCGTTGGAAGTGTTTTATTTTAAAGACACAGAGTAAGTATACCAATGCACTAGAAGCTAGGATTCTGAGCGGCGCCTCAAGTGGCAAAATTGTAAAGCTGTCTAAGAACGACACTTCGATACTTCTCGATTTGACAGAATTCGACCATTTACGGCGCGAAACATTTTATTCTTAAACATAAATAAAATTTATCTATTTTTATGCTAGCCGAGACAATAATTGATTGAATATAAATGGTTGAACAATTGGTTTAATTTTTTAAGCTAAAGGTACTTATTTAAGAGAATTTCTCTTACGAATACTATATTGGACGAAACGATATTAGTAAATCATTTATGTCTTTTAGAATCTAGAACAATAACCATATGTCTCCCTTTGACCACGGCTGCTGCAAAGCATTCTAAACGGGCTGTAGTTAAAACAAATGAAAAAAAATTTGTTTGAACAATGAAAATGTATTCCTGAATCTCCGTGACTACAATGAACGCACCTAATCTGGTTTTTTTGCTTTACTAAACCACAGGAAGCACCAAGTGCCGGTCTTCTCGTGATTCACTGTGGATCTGCTTGGTCTTTCTGGTCTGCGTAAGACAGTTTCCTCGTATCCTCGTCGACGTCTTGTACCCTTTCCATGATAGAGGAGGACATACTTAATGAAAGTTAAACACCCCGGCCATATAACATCTTAACAAGATCGAAACGTCGGGCCGAAGTTAAAAATCATTTTCAAATAAGTTTAACTAATATATCGTGTTTTAAACCGTTAAAGTGTTTCATTTAAATGTGTACTACTCGCGTAAACTATAGACAGTATTCAATTATAATTCTACAAACATAATCATATAGATTCAAGATTCCATTTTAATTGGCCCGACGATTCGGATGCTTTGCAGCAGCCCTGGTCAAAGGGAGACTGACGATGGTCAGATAAATAATATATCAGTTTAAATAATACATTTATTTAAATACTACTAAAGTTTTAAAAAATATAGAAGTGTTGTTTTGTATGTTTTTTTTATGTCTTTAATGTTAATTTTAATAATTATCTATGTATACTAACATATCGATTAAAAAAATTACATTCAAAAGCTAATAGCAATTTAAAACTGTATTATTCTTATATATTTTCTTATACGGACTTAATGATTTACTTTTTTCATTATTAATGATGGATTTTAAGAAACTTCATCTTATGAAGTTCGATTATTCTACTGGTGCTTGAAACAAAATCAAAGTCAATTTTTTCAAAATTAGATGACTCTGACTAAAAGAGGTATATAATAATATGATAATCATATATATGAATCAACAACTTTTAGTAAGTAGTTCTACTTGTTTCCGACTAACATATAGCAAGTCATTATTATGTTAAAAGTAACTTCTTGTTCCAAGCATTTTTTATAGTCAATAGAATCATCGCTCGGTTACAAAATGATGCTTCAGCTCCTGTGTATATAGAAAATACAAATCTATACTAATATCAAGCTGTTTGTTGTTTGTTTGAACGCGCTTATGTCAGGAACTACTGGTTCCAATTTTTTTTGTTAGAGCATTTATATATTTATTGTTAACGAGGAAGGTTTATAAGCTATAAATCAACCGTGAAACAGCGAAAGATGTGGAAGGCTATGAAGCCCATAAACAACGAGAAATGTAAAAAAAATACGGAAAATAATTCATCTTTCTGGGTTTCAAATGCGTACTGTGCGAAAGCTGTTCAAGATAGCCAAAATTCTGTATTAAAGAATGATTTCCCTTTAAATTAACTAGAAAAATGCCCGCAATACTATATGTCTATCTTTTAAGATAGCAAGAACCGTGTCATGACGCGACCGACGTCGTGGGTAACAATTTATAAATATTGAGAGGAGGTTTGCAAAACAATATTTAGATGTCTAAAATAACTACTCCCCGCGGACGAAGTTGCTGACACAGCTAGTTAATAATAATGTAGGGCAGGAATTATTTTTGAGTTCTTAAAAGGGATGGATGGTCATGTTTCTCAACATATAAGTTGATAAAAATAAATCAAGTACTCAGACTTATCAGCCATACACACCAGACCAGTCCTAGTTATGCATTTTAAAATAACATCAATTAAAATCGACGCGTTGAATTAGTTTAGACGCAGCGAAGCCCTACAAAACGAACGAGGGCTGTATCGTTCAAGAAATACGCCGGCCCAGCTTACTGCGGTTTTGTGCGTCCCGCTCTCTCCGCACCGATCGGATAAGGACGGCGAAGGGTAGCTTGTAACCAACAGCTGGTGACGTCACGGCGGAGGGTGACATCGCCAGTCACAGTCAGTGTACGGCCGGCCGCCACAACGCGCGGACGGGTGCAAAATGCGCGCGCGTTGAACAAAACAATCGCAATGCTGTTTGAGAATCCCAACGCGAAATTGTTCCCAGCTTTCAACATCCCACCGCCAGTGAGGCTCAGGTGAGGAGCCGGCATGTGTTCTTGGTGTCCAGTGTCAGTGTATTTCAGTGATATACAACACGGCGCGACACCGTGCCGCTACAGCGACTCGACTAACAGAACGTCAATACAACGCTTAATTTTTTCTCTCATTCCCGTGTGCCCTAACACGAGATTCTGTTTGACGAGCCGCTGAGCTAAATTGTTCTTCAATATCGAATGGTTTATATCGCTACTGAGTTTTATCGAGGGACAGGTTTGGTGTAAACAAAAAGAGTTATGTGTGACGAATTTTGTGGCACCGGTTGTTAGATTCAGGCCGCCGCCCCTGAGTTTCCAGCAACAGATAGGTAACTTAGGGTACCTACGCGTGTAGCTATAGATCCATAAACGTGGCTCGGTTTTGAAATTCTGTGAACAATATCTAGGGTACGCCGTGACCATTGCTAAAATGTTTGTAATGCACAAATGGTGTTTCTGTTTACTGTTGAAATCTTTTGTCTGTTGTTTTGTTCATTTATAACGCTAAGTGTTAAAATTATTCTTGAGAGGAAATAACTCTAAAATGATCTTAAAACCATTATTTTATTAAAAACTATATTGCCACAAGTATTCTTCAAAAAACTTATTATTGATGTATGTTTCTTATTCAAAACATTGCATGTAATGAAGATAAACTTAGTGAAATAGTATTCCTGACATCAGCATTTGATAAGGATCATTTAACTTACGTTTGCTATGGAAATATGAAATTATAAACTGTTTTAACACCAAATATCTAGTATTTGGTTATGCACTGCTATTTATTTCATCATACTCTAATACCACAAAGTATTTAAATATTTTCAAATATATTCAACTCGTGTATAACATTTACCTCCACAACTATATCTATACTATAATATGATAAATGCGAAAGAAACTCTGCCTGTCTGTCCAGCTGTAACTTCGAAATTACTGAAATGATTTAAATGAAATTTGGTAGACGGATATTTTAGAGCCTGAGAAAGGACATTTAAGACCAATTTTAATACCAAAAAAGGGTGAAAAGGGGATGAAAGTTTGTATGGAAATTCGTGGTTTTTGAAGCTATAACCATGAAATTGTTTGGTTGGTTTTTGGGAGGAGTGAGAGTGAGTGTAGTAATGAGAGTGGGAGTTAGAGTAGGAGTGGTGTGAGGTGAGTGTTGCGGCAAACATAGATTGGCTGCCTTAAATGCGCCCTTACATATATTAACAAACAGCCTAAATAATTAAAAAGTCTACCCCAAGTCACTATTTCACGAATGAAGTAGCGGGCACAGCTAGTTGTGATATAAATAACAAATCAATAAAATTACACCTTTCTACATTCTTGTACTAAGAGATAACCTTAGCAAACTGTATTATTGTAAAATTGTGCTGTCAATCAACAGATTCGTGCAATTTTCGCCCTACCTATTATAGATAATGGAACTCCTAAAATTCTAGACTAGTCTACATTTTAATAATAGACTTTCTATTTATTGTCTTCTTGTGTCTATAATCTATAGTCGCTATAGACTGTTCTAAGAGGAATTATCATCTTATAAAGTTTGATTTACAGTCGCGGTTAATTGTTCAATAGTAATTATCGTAATTTATATAAACAATCACTACATTCAGCATATTATCATTGTCTTTCGGGCTTTTCCCCCGGGGGGGGGGGGGGGGGGGGGCCCCCCCCTCCCCCCCCCCGGGGGGGGGGCCCCCCCCCCCCCCGGCCGCCCCCCCCGAAAAAAAATTATTTTCTGAAATATGGGTGTGAAAGCCTTACACAATTTATCAATCACTGCATTGTTAGAAATTGATGATTAAATAATGAAAGGAGAATTAACTCTTTAATGTTTGTGGGTTTAGTGACATTTATTATCATTTTCAATGTAAATACAAAAAACTGTTTAACGAATTCTTCATAAAATTTTCTAATTATAGGTCGAACATCGTTGAAATTTCACATTTTTGACAAGCTTGTGAGTCTTATTGTGGGTTAGATTCCCATCAAGTCTAACGTGTTTCTACTCAATTTATAAATTAACTGAAGTATGTTGGACTTGGAAATCTGGATATTAAATGAATTGTTGGAATATCGAAATCCCCTCCGAACCACGGACAATCGTCTACAGAAGAAAATAACCGTTTGGACTGGAATCAAAAATTTTAACCACCTTATGATTCCAGTCCGTGGGTTTCCGAATATCCAAAAGCCAAATTAGGTCGATAGCGCATCTTGTTCAGATGTAAATGGCTGGAGTATTCAACGTCCATCAAATTAGCCCCATGTTGACTGCCCACCCATTTTTTGTAGGGCTTAACCCACTATCACATCCTTATCTTGGACTAGATTTCTTCATCTGGTCTTCGTCCTGCTGACAAAGCTTACGACACGTTTCCGAATACCTTTTTACATTGTAAAGGCAATCATTATCAATTATCTATAGGTAACAACGTAACTCGTTTTGTAAGTTAATTGGCGATTCAGCGGAAAACCGATTGATTTATTTAAACTAGATTTCTAACGAACGCCCATATTTTCCTCTTTTTATTAACAAGACCCTGAAGTGTGGAAAATGATTTCATTCATACTAATATATAAAGCTGAAGAGTTTGTTTACGCGCGCTAATCTCAGAAACTATTGCTTCGATCTCGAAAGTTATTTGTCTTAGAACATTTATCGGGGAAGGCTATAATACATTGCGTTGTAACTAATAGGAGCGACTAAACAGCGGGAGATGTGGAAGGAGCAGCGGGGTAAAAATTTCATGTCTGTGGGTTTCCGATGCGTACGCTGCGAAAACGGGTCAAGATACCCAAAAAAATATGTCTGAAAGAATGATTCCTCTTAAGAGTATCTAAAAACATTTTCACAACACTAATTTATAAAGGCGAAGTGGTCTGCAAAAACAAATTTGGGTGCTATTCTATGCGGACGAAGACACAGCTAGTCAATATAAAGGTCGACTTAAGTTGGTTTATAGGAGTCGAAATATTATGTTTGAAATGCTGACTTTGCGGATTTGGTGCAGGCAGTAAATCATCAAGTTCTTTATGATCATCTGGGTAGTAGAACAATGATATTTCCAGTCATGCTGATACAAGCCTGTCTATTCTAATATATAACGCTGAAGAGTTTGTTTGTTTGAACTCGCTAATCTCAGGATGGTACCGGTTCGAATCGAAAAATTATTTTTGTGTTAGAACATTTATCGAGGAAGGCTATATCGCTGCGACTAATAGGAGCGAAGAAGCAGCGGGAAATGTGAAAATAACGGGTGGGAAGTTTCCGACGCGTACGCTGCGAAAACGGTTCAAGACACCCGAAAAATAGGTTTAAAAAAATCCGCTATATGTCTATCTATTAAGATTAACTTGCAAGAACGACGGAAAGTAACGCAACCGACGTCGTGGACAGCTAGAGTTTATAAATATGAAGGGGTTTGCAAAAACGAATCTGGACGCCCAAAATAACGATTCCCGCGGACGAAGTCGCTGTTACTAGTTATAATATAAAAACAATTGAACTATACGTGGACGATATAATACGCAAATAAATTTATCATTATTCTCATTTAATTCGCATAAAAGCTTTGAATGATTTGTGATCATTGTATCGATTATATTTTCAATTAAAATCTCTTTGTTTGTACATAAAATTTATTAATATTATTTTATAAAAGTGATATACACGGCTCGTTGGCTTAATGGTAGGATTTAAAACAGCGTGTTAGGTTCGGTTTTAGTTCGACCATGTTTTTAAACCAAAACAGATTAAATACTGTCTATAGTTTACGCGAGGAGTACACATTTAAATAAAACACTTTAACGGTTTAAAACGCGATATATTAGTTAAACGTATTTTAAAATGATTTTTAATTTCGGCCCGACGTTTCGGATGCTTTGCAGCAGCCGTTTTACTTTGACGTCAGAGACATCCTCCATCTTTAGTCTCCCCGTGACCACGGCTGCTGCAAAGCATCCGAAACGTCGGGCTGAAGTTAAAAATCATTTTCAAATAAGTTTAACTAATATAACGCGTTTTAAACCGTTAAAGTGTTTTATTTAAACAAAACAGATTAAATATTTTTGGGTTCGTGGGTGAATGGTATCTTATCTTCTTTAATATTGATTAATTTCTAGCTAATATAGATATTGAATAGGAGGCAGCAAAATCGAAATTTCACCCGAGTCACGAACCGCACTCCAGCGATGAAAAAGCCGTGGAGTTTAATCGCGCAGACTGAACCCGGTCTGCGGATTTCTAAATATACACAGCCAATATAGGTCGACAGCGCATTTTGAGATAACTTCTAACGGTTTAAAACGCGATATATATATTGATAACATTATTAAAAACTGTCTGTGTGTGTCCATGTTTAAATAAAACACTTCTAATGTAAAATAGTTAACAATTTATTTTAGCAACGGCCCAACTGCTGCAGAGCAACCGCAACGTCGGGCCGTAAAACGCGTTTTATTCCGATACTCTCCTACGTCATTTGAGATCACGGCTGTAATGCTTCACCTATCACGAAAGCAACAAAACGGAAAGCTTTTAATCATATTCTTTGATCTGCGCTTAAGAGCGTTTTAACTATAACAATTGGGTGTCCAATTACTAGGAAATTTACGGACATTGTTCTAATGGTAGCTAATAATCAACGGGTCGTGGGTCCGATCCCCACCGGGTCTAATTCCTCGATTTATAATTTTTCTGCAACATGTTGGATTTCGTCTGGAAATCTGGATATTAAATGGATGGTAAGAATCTTTCAGTCCGTGGATTCCGAATATCCCGGCTTTTTTATCTGTGCGTTGTTCGTGACCCGGACAGATTTAAATAAAAACACTTAACCGTTTAAAACGCGAAATATAACGGTAAACTTATTAAGTAACGTCTATAGTTTACGCGAGTAGTTTTAAATAAAACAGTTTAGGTTTAATAGCGAAATTATTTCTAATTTATTTTAACTACGGATCTAATGCTTCGCAGCAGCCGTGGTCACGGGGGCTTAGTGAGT